CTCGGGCCGAAGGAGAAGCGCGGGCAGAAGAAGGCGAGGAAGTTGGTTTTTGCGGATGATCGGCGGGAGCAGCGGGCGTTGAAGAAACGGAAACTTCAAGAAGATCAAGAAGAAGAAGATGATGAGGATGAAGAACAGTCGTTTGGTGAATTGCAGAAGAAGCAGCAGAAAAAGACGCAGAAACAGCTCGAGGCGGAGAGGCAGGCTCTCGTTGAGGCTCGCCGAGTCCGCAAGATGAAGAAGAGGGCTGCCGAGTCTCGGGAGAACAAGCTCAAGGCGCTTCGCAAGCAGTATGCCGATATCACTGCCGCCGAGCGCGAGCTGGACTGGCAGCGAGGGCGGATGGATAACTCGGTTGGGGGGACGAACAAGGATGGCATCAAGTGGAAGATCCGCGAGCGCAAGAAGTGATCTTGGATTGGTCTTTCTTATTGCAGCTCATGTCGATGATACCTTTCTCCATTTTTTCTTGCATTGGGCCGGAGGTCAAGCAAAAGTTTTTCCATCTGGTTTATAATAGAGGCTTATGGCGTTCAGGCGCATATACTGTGAATACCATTTCATCTTATGCCTTGAGGCTTGTTAATGAAGAAAACTAAAATTTTATTCCGTCAAGCTCATGTCTAATGAATACAATAACTGCATCTCGTCGTAAAGTCCGAAAAACTAAGTCATCACGCCTGGTTCTTCTTCATCGCCGCGACTCTGATGCTCACGGCCCGCTTGTGCGCGTCCAATCCCTCAACTGCAGCCAACTGCTCCACCGTGCGAGACAATCCAAGCAATCCCTCTGCCGTCAAGTTCGAGCTGGTGATGTGCTTGAGGAACGAGCCCAGGTTGACTCCAGAGTACTGCTTGGCGTAGCCGTAGGTTGCTTGTGATGTTAGCTTGATTCCTGCACGGGAAGTGACGGAAACTTACGCAAAGAGTGGTTGACACCCGCAGAGTAATCACCAACACTTTCAGGTGTCCACTGTCCGATGAAAACACTGCCGGCGTTGACGACCTTCTCCACCACCGACTCCGCGTTCTGGACCTGCAGAATCAGATGCTCCGGCGCGTATTCGTTGCTGAGCGCCATCGCCTCATCAATGTCACGCACCACGAAGGTCACCGAGTGGGCCAGAGATCCTCGCACAATGTCCATCCGGGGCAGGGCCCGGGCTTGAGCATCGACCTCGTCCTCGATGGCCTGGAGTTGGCTCTCGTTCAAGTCGACGGCGATCAGAATCACCTGCGAATCAACGCCGTGCTCAGCCTGGCTCAGCAGATCTGAAGCGACAAAGGCCGGGTTGGCGTCCTTGTCTGCGATGACCAACACCTCGCTAGGTCCGGCGGGCATATCGATGCTGACACCGGCCGAGGTGTCGTTGGAAACTAGCATCTTGGCTGCCGTCACGAATTGGTTACCGGGACCCAAGATCTTGTCCACCTTGCTGATACTCTCCGTTCCGTAAGCCATGGCGGCCACGGCCTGCGCACCACCGGCGAGGACAATGCTCTCGGCTCCCACCTTGTGGGCAACGTAGACAATCTCGGGTGAGATGCTGCCGTCGGCCCGAGGAGGAGAAGCCAAGACAATCTTCTGGCAGCCGGCAACCATGGCGGGGACACCGAGCATCATGGCGGTGGACGGCAGCACTGCAGTTCCACCGGGGACGTACAGACCAACACGCTCGATGGGGCGAGAAAAGCGGGAGCAAACGACACCGGGCATCGTCTCCACCTGGAGGACGTCATTGGTATCCTTCTGGGCGGAGTGGAATTTCTTGATATTGGCGATGCTGACATCGATGGCTTCCTGGGTCTCAGGCGACAGCTTCATCAGCTCCGGGGGGAAAGGGGCGCGGATTACGGGAGACGTTAGGGAAGTCGCCTTTTCAAACTTGTGGGTATACTTGAGCACAGCTGCATCGCCGCCCTCCCGCACATCCTGGATGATGGGGCGAACGAGACCCACGATGGCCTCGTTGGACTTTTGAGAAGGACGCTTGAGGTACTCCTTGACCTTGTCCACCGGCGTGGAAGCGGTGACCACGCGCGTCATCTCCATGCGCGAGTCATCCTTCTTGGCTTCTTCCTTAGCTGGCGCTGCTGGAGCGGCGGGCTTCGTTTCGGCTGCGGCAGGAGTCAGACCAGCCTTCTCCGCCCACGGACCCTTGGCATCGCCCTTTCTTCTCTTGACCTTGAGACTCTTCAGATCCAGGTTACGTTCGATATCTTCCAAGCTGACACCCGCAGCCACGCAGCGAGTCAGGGCAAAGTAGAGGAGATCGGCAGCCTCAAAAGCGATCTCTTCCTTGGTGGTGGCGCGGCACAGCTCGTCAGCCTCCTCCATGATCTTTGCCTGAGTCAGCTTGGGCTCATTGAACAGTCTGGCGGTGTAGGAACCGGCCGGCGCATCGGCTTTGCGGGCTTGAAGGGTCTTTTGCAGACGCGCAAGGCCATTGTAAGGCCCGAAGCAGCTGGCGGTACCCAGGTGACAGAAGCCGCGGCCAATCTGCTTGACAACAAAGACCAGGCAGTCGCTGTCGCAGTCAAAGCCCAGGCGGATCAGCTCCTGCACGTCACCGCTGGACTGACCCTTGTACCACAGACCCCGTTTCCGGCTCTGGTAGACGCCGGTGCCAGTGCGGAGAGCCTCGGCGATACTTTCATCACTGCTCCAGACAAGGCCCAGACATACTCCCCGCTCATCAGTCACCGAAGTCGCGTACAGACCGTTGCTCTGGTCAGCAACAGCACGAGCGGCAACCAGAGCGCCGGCGGCGATCTTGCCGTTGGGATTCTTGTGATCGAGGGTGAGGGCGTCGGCAGAGACAATGCTGACGGCACCCTGCTTCAATGTTTCCTTCACGGCGTCCTCGGTGACTGTGCTGGCGGTGTAGGTGCGGTAGAGGTTCTGAGCCTCAAGATTCAAGCCCAATTTGTCGGCCAGAGTCTTGACGTCGGCAGACTCGGTGCAGATTCCGGCTTCCTTTCTTTCAGCATCCTCAGCAACCCACGACTGAAAGGCATCCACCTGATTGTCGGAGGAGGTATAAACGACGAGTCGCGACGAAGGAACGGATTGCTCTTGGGACAGCGAGGTCAATTGATCGAGGGAAATGACTACTTTGGCGGCACCAGCATTCAGGATATCGACAATGTCACCGGAGGAGGCGATGTCGGTAGCATCGACGTAGACATCGAGGAGACGGAAATTCTGACGCAGGAAGTCCTCAGCTTGAGCCAGAGAGGAGACCTTAATGAGGACGCGGCCGAAGTAGGCGATCTGGGAGAGGGAGAGACCGGAGGAGGACGAGGTGGGGTTGTAGGAGATGAGGATTGGGGTAGCCATTATGACTGTGGAACAAATGATGAGCAATTAAAAGATGAAAGATCAATCAGATCTGATGAAAAAGATGATGAAAGCGATCAAACCCCTAGTCCCTAGCCTGGGGGAAGAGAAGGTGTAAGGGAGGGGAGAATGACGAGGGGAGAATGAATCATCGCGAGAATTTCTTTTTTGGACGGGCAGAGAGAATTTTGGCCCCGCATCGGAGTCAGCGAGTGAGAAGAGGAGTGCAAGTTACACAGACAAGGGTAGACACTGTGAACCTCGAGATTGACATCAAATTAACCGTCTACTGAAGATGGGATCGACTGAATATATTACAACAGGTCTTTGAGTGTTAGTTGTTGTGGTCTCTATGGACTGGTCTGACATGGCGCCGATGAGCGGAGTCTACATACAACCATCTAAGGTATTTCCAGATGTTCTTGTCCTGGACTGTCTCACATTAGTTCTAGCATCATTGGCATCGTACGATATTCGGAAGAGGGGAAGAATCAAGGTTAATATCAAGGTTATAAGAAGGATTCCTCTCTCCGTAGTCGGCCCGTTTCCCATGGCCTTCTTCACATGTGTTCCTGGTGGCTGCCCAGGGTCATCTGCTTCCATGAGGGCCATGAGGACGAGAAGTCAGCTGTGATTGACTTGACTCTGACCTTGGCAGCTGATCACTCAGGAAAAGAAGAATTGATATTAGGTAGCATTGCTATGGACCAAATGTTACATTCTGTTCAAGCTAGAGAACTATTATCACCAGGGTATTGCCAATATACAGAGGGGACTGGCCCAAGTTTGGTTGGTTGATAATGCAGAGAATAGCTGACTCATACTCCGTAGTCACATTCCTATTCGGGTGATGCATAATGACAGAACTGTATTGACTTGTACAGCCCATAGGTATCGGTACCAATAATACCGTGGATTTACCCCTGCATAATCCACGTTCATCACATCCCAAAAAGGAAAGCATAACAAATAAACAACATCCTCAGGCATCTTATACCGGAATATATCTGTTATGCCATCATAAAAGGGCGTAGATTCAGAAATAGTCTGATACAACTGACAGAATCACTGCAAGCAAGTCAGAAACTAACTAAGGGTACAGAATTATCCTCCGGAGTTCAAATGATCCCTGTAACTAACTAGTTTAGCGTTGTCGAGTCCAAGCTCAAGTGACGGGGGATCGGGGTTGGATACCTAGTTCAGGCACTCTCTTGGCCCTATCTAGACTCCAGGAGACACTAGACTAATGTATCTTTCCAATAGTCCATCTGATCTAGTCCATGATCCCTCATAAATGGAGATGATGATCGTCGCATCGGCCAGTGATGGCTGTAATGCAGGTTCAACTTGCAGAATGCCATCCATTCATGCGACGATCCCTCATCCTGTCCGTCATTCCGGCTCAACACGCGACTCCTCTCTTCACGTCGCCTCTTCTTCCTGGCCCCCCTTCTCCCCTCTTTTCATTCTTCGATCTGGATGACTCCAAATCAAGTCTTTCGTCCGCTGCTCTTAGTCTTAGACTAAACTGTCATATAACTATCCGCCTGTTCCCTCAGGCTGTCACTCGTTTGCTGTTGAATGTCTTAGGAGGACCACTACTTCTCCGTGCCAATCTTTCTCTCGTCTCGGGATTCTGTATTTTTCGTGGGTTGGTATCATGCATTTGCCCTCTCTGTCCGTGGCTCTGGCCCTGGTGAGCTCGTCTCTGGCGTTGCCTCAGACGATTCTGCCCGAGGACAATGTCTCATCACGCGCGGCGGCCGTCAAAGAGGCCTTTTCCCATGCCTGGGATGGGTATATGAAATACGCTTTTCCTCATGATGAGCTGCTCCCTATTTCCAATAGCTATGGCGATTCAAGGTAGGCAATCAGCAAACTTTCCTCACTCCAAGGTGCATCCTGACCTGGTGATCTATGTAGAAATGGTTGGGGCGCATCTGCGGTCGATGCTCTGTCCACCGCAATTGTGATGCGCAACGCGACGATCGTCAATCAGATTCTGGATCATATTGCCAAAATCGACTACTCCAAGACTTCCGACACGGTCAGCCTGTTTGAGACCACCATTCGGTACCTGGGCGGCATGCTGTCTGGATACGACCTGCTCAAAGGGCCCGCCGCCGACCTCGTCAATGACAGCACCAAGGTGGACATGCTCCTTCAGCAATCCAAAAACCTTGGAGACGTGCTCAAGTTCGCCTTTGACACGCCGTCGGGTGTTCCGTATAATAATATCAACATCACTTCGCATGGCAATGACGGCGCCACGACCAACGGGCTGGCGGTTACGGGGACATTGGTCCTGGAATGGACTCGTCTGTCCGATCTGACGGGAGACCAGGAGTATGCGAAACTCAGCCAAAGGGCCGAGTCCTATCTACTCGCGCCCCAGCCTAGCTCCGGCGAGCCGTTCCCTGGCCTCGTCGGCAGCGATATCAGCATCCAAACAGGTCAGTTCACCAACGGCTTCGTTAGCTGGAACGGCGGTTCCGATTCCTTCTACGAGTATCTCATGAAGATGTACGTGTATGATCCCAAGCGGTTTGCAACGTACAAGGACCGCTGGGTGGCCGCCGCGGAGTCGAGCATCGACCATTTGGCGTCCAATCCCGCATCCCGGCCGGATCTCACGTTCCTGGCCACGTACAACAAAGGCTCGCTCGGCCTGAGCTCGCAGCACCTGGCCTGCTTTGATGGAGGAAGCTACCTGCTTGGCGGCACCGTGCTGGACCGGACCGACTTGATCGATTTCGGACTGAAGCTGGTCGACGGATGCGCCGACACGTACCAGCAGACGCTGACGGGGATCGGACCGGAGAGTTTCGGTTGGGATGAGAAGTCGGTGCCTGCCGACCAGAAGGAGTTCTACGAGCGCGCCGGCTTTTACGTCCAAAGTGGCGCATATATTCTGCGACCCGAAGTGATTGAGAGCTTTTACTATGCGTACCGCGTCACCGGCAAGAAGCAGGTATGTTCTGACTTTGTAGGAGGGTTTGTGACTGTGACTGACGTGGTTAGTACCGTGACTGGGTGTGGAATGCCTTTGAAAATATCAACAAGTACTGCCGCACGGAGTCTGGGTTCGCTGGGTTGACCGACGTCAACGCTGTAAATGGCGGAAATCGATATGACAACCAGGAGAGTTTCCTGTTTGCCGAGGTGATGAAGTACGCGTACTTGACGCATGCACCAGGTATGAGTCCGATATCGATTGTTGATGAAGATGAAGCTAACGAGAGCAGAGGATGAATGGCAGGTTCAACGGGGGAGTGGCAACAAGTTTGTGTTCAACACTGAGGCTCACCCGGTCCGAGTCCATCATACGTGATGTACATATCCTAGCTGGTATAATTAGTACTTTATATATATGGGGGAATCATCCTTATAATATGCAGACTTTATTCATTGATCACTAGCATGGGTAACTCCGGCTGCGGAGTTGAAGTAGACGACAAGTAGGTACCTTGGGGTTATCGACTGTAAGTACTCATGCATATGACAATAATCTATAAAGCTAGTAGCTAGTCTAGTACTATATTATCTCACCAAGGACTAATAATTAGACGAAACTGGTGAAACTGAAAAATCCGGAGTAGTAATAAGACTACATTCTCCCGACCCACATGTGAGCGGATTTGAGCACCCTTGGGGTCCATCCCGGGCAGATATTCCCTCAATCCTGCTCACTCGCATACCTTGGTGGAAGCTATAAATACAGCACAACAGGTAGACAATGTAGACATGTAGCACTCTCTGTTCCCTCATTCATCTATATACATACATATACTTCTGTACAAATAGCAAACCAAAAATGTGCGGAGGAAACACCCCCCGTCCCACTTCCAACGGCCGCATCGCAGTCATGTTCCCCTCCGCGTCCACCAAGAGCATGACCACGTACTCGCTTTTCTTTCATGAGGGGCTGACAGCGTCTCGCACGCGAGCGGTATTCCGGCTTGAAGATCCCAGCACGAGAGATGCATTCGGGAAGTGCGAGAGTATTGATTTGAGGATTGAGTATGCCCCCGTCCTTCCCGGTTTTCAGACATATCTAGGTGGTTAGTGGTTAGGTGGTATACAATGCTAACAGGGCTTGCAGACGGTATGGAGATTTGACCTCTGCGTTGACTGCGCCGCCGCTGCATCGGTTCCGGCTACGGCCTAACCCTAAATCAGGGCAAAAAGGGATTGAGATGGAGTTTGAGTTACCTGAACGGCTAGATCTCGGGGTTTCGGAGAGGGGGATTGTAGGGAGGCAGGTTACTGTTGTTGCCGAAGGGGGAAGAAGCGAGGTGTTGGGGATGGGGATGGGGATTGTTGGGTATGATTGATTGCAGGTATTGCATCCATTGTATTTGATATTAGCATGGAGTTATGGATTGGATTAGGATCGGCATTAGATTCATTTGGTCTGGTCTTGTGGTGTCTTGCATCGATGGAGATTACAGTTTACAGAGCTATAGCTTCAAGAATGGGTGTCCACCCTTGTCACCCGCTATGTACCGATCCTCCGCTTCAGCCCAGTTGATCACGTTCCAGATGCCCCTGGCATACGAGGCTTTGTCGTTCAAGTACTATTGGTTCATTAGCATCGAAGATGGAAGATGGAAGATGGACGAGGAGGAGAAATACCTGGAGGTAGTAAGCATGCTCCCACATATCCACCCCAAAGACGGGCGCCGCCCCCGTCACCGGATCCTGGTCGTGGGTCGTGGTAATGTCCAGCTTTCCCTTGGGTCCGTCGGTCACCAACCAACCCCATCCGCTGCCCTGAATGCCCAGCAGGGTCGTGTTGAACGCATCCTTAAACTTATCGAAGGATCCCCAGCGCTGCTCGATGGCCGCCTTGAGGGCCGGTGCCTGATCGATCTTGCCCCCCCCGGATTGCTCCGGGGCCAGATTCTTCCAGAAGAGGGAGTGGTTGATGTGGCCACCGCCGTTGAATTTGATCGCCTGCTGCACGGAGACGAGCTTGGGAACGTCGTTGGCCTCCGCGGCTCTCTTCTGCGCATCGAGCGCGGCGTTCAGGCCATTGACGTAGGTTTGATGGTGCTTTTTGTGGTGCAGCTCCATGATCTGTTGGGAGATGTAGGGTTCAAGGGCCTGGCATTGTTAGTCTGTTGTCACTTTTTTTGGAGGCATAGAGACTTACATTGTAGGGGTAGGGGAGGGGTGGGAGCGTGTATTGGTGTGCCATGGTGTTGGTGATGTGAGTCTGAATCTGGATCTGGATCTGGAGTTGGTGAATCTGTGAGTGCTGTGAGTTCTGAGCGCAGAGAGGTGGGAGGAGAGAGCACAAGGAGGATGGAAGGTAAAGTACTCAAGCATCAAGGTCCTCACTGTCCTGAAGAAAGCTGCCAGGGGACCTTGGGATCTAGAGCACAAATGAGCACATTACGAGCACATTATGAGCAATGCAGCTCTGTGATTGGGTTTTGCACTCTGCTCCCATCATCATCAATCCATCATCTTTTGCAGGAGCAATGAACTGGCAAATATTAATCAGGCATTGTTACATATCCCCAGAGGTAGAGTAGTAGACTGATTGTCTATGAATCAATCTATGATGCTCCGGTTGGTGGTGATGATATCATCACAGGGTTGATGGTTGATGCCTGAGGATGGTCTTGCTGCCTCAATCCAGGCAGTCTGTCTGTAATCTGCATCTCTGAGAATCTCCATCAACAGCTTCAATTCATTCAATTCATCCAATTCATCCAATTCATCTTGTTTACTCTTGGAGTTTACTTTACACATTCTCACCAATCATGGCTCCCCCTGATCAATAATCCTCCATCTGCCGAACGGTCCGAACCTCGGCCAGTCGGTCCAAAGACTCCAAACGTGGGGAAGTTGGGGTCACTGCTATAAACATGGAGAGCTCTCGGCTCAATACATTCACTACTGATCCAAGCATCACTATCTATCTATCTAGTCATCTAAATCAGAATGTCCGCTGAAGAACAAGTCCGTCTCGATAACTTTGACTCCATCTTCTCCCTCGATGGCAAAGTCGCCGTCGTCACCGGCGGTTCAAGAGGCCTCGGTCTCCATGCTGCCAGCGGGTACGTCTGACTCCGTTTCTCCAAATCATTGAGATGCATCTGACAGCGTCAAGCCTCCTCCAAGCGGGCTGCTCAAAGGTCTATATTACCTCCCGCAAAGCCAAAGCCTGCGACGAGGCCGTTGCCGCCCTGAATGCCCTCCCCAATAAACGTCCTGGCGCGGTAGCCATTGCTGTTCCCGCCGACAACGCGCGCATGGACGACCTGGACCGACTTGTCGCCGAGGTCAAGAAGACAACGGATCACGTTGATATTCTCTTTGCAAATGCGGGTGCTACCTGGGGCGAGCGCTTCGAAAAGTATCCCGAGCCTGCTTTTTCCAAGGTGATGGATCTGAACGTGAAGAGTGTGTTTTATTTGGTGCAGAAGTAGGTCTTCTTTTTTTACGGTGTATATGAACTTAAACTGAGCTATGGATAGGTTTGCCCCCCTACTCACGGTCAAAGCGACCCGCGACTCGCCCTCGCGCGTCATCGTCACCGGCTCCGTGGCCGGCATCGGGGTCGGTTCCCTCGGCGAGAATGCCACCTTTGCCTACTCTGCGTCTAAAGCGGCCGTGATTCACCTGGCCAAGAACCTGGCGGTGGAGCTGGGGCCGCGCGGCATCCTGTGCAATGCGATTGCCCCGGGCTTCTACCCGTCCAAGATGGCCAATGGGTTGATCGAGATGCAGGGAGGCATCAAGCAGATGGAGGAGCACTCGCCCAACCGGCGCCTGGGGAGGCCGGAGGATATTGCTGGGTTGGTGGTATTCTTGTCTAGCCGTGCAGCCAGTCATTTGAATGGGGCTGTGATTGTGACTGATGGAGGGGCCGTACTGAAGGGAAGACTATAGATCGTCATGTAGATAATGATTATATACAACTACATCACTATAGCTTGGCCACTGTCTTGTGCTCTTCTGCCCGCACTGCTCGGTCAATAAGCTCCATGGCTCGGTAGAGCTCGTAGTCGTGCTGCTTGGGCGTTACGACCTGAATGCTCAAGGGAGAGTCGAGGTATACACGCCGATCCACCGTTTTCTCGTTCCCTAGGTACAAGATCAGTGAAATTCCTGGGCAAGAAGAATGTGACTTACACAACAGCCGATTCGCCTTGTCCCAGCTCCCCAGCACCGGCGCCGTCATCTCCTTGCCCAGCTCCAGATCCGTCTCGCGGAACTTCCGCACAGGGATGACACCCGCCGGGTAATCCAGCAGCACAAATGACGACGAATATCCCACGGCATTATACCGATCGATCTCCGGCACCGGATGCGGCGCAACAGGGAGGATGATGGCGTCAACCTGCCGGCCCGCCAGCCTGTCGCCGTCACCATTGCCATCGCGCATCCACATCGCCAATAGCTCCCTCTCAACCGCAGACCGCTGCGCCTGCAGCTGCGCCAGCTGCACCACGCTGAGCGCCTTGCCGCGCTTCACCCGGCCCTGCAGCCACGGAATCAACGGCTCCCCCGTCGCATCCAGCAAATCCAGCATGGTCGACCCATCATCCACGCCCATCAGCCGGCCCGCAAGACCCTGGCACTTCGACAGCGCCGGCAGGACGGGGATCTCGACCACCTCGACGCCCTGCGTCCGGCGCAGCATGTGCGCCACCTCATCCAGCACCCTCGCCACAGGCGGCAGCGGCTGCACGACCCCATCAGACCTCAGCACCCCAATCGTCACCTTCCTCCTCAGCCCAGAACGGGGGAACTCCCCACTCCACAAACCCGGAATACAATCCTCCCCAAACATCTCCGCCCGCGGCACAATCTCCGCCATCACAGCCCCCAAATCCTCCACCGAGCGCGCAATCGGGCCCGCAACAGCCTGTAGCGCAATCCGCCCCTTGCCGGGGACCTGCCCGCCCTCCTGCCCGCCAAAGGGCACCCGCCCCACACTCGGCTTGAAGCCATACACACCCATACACATCGCCGGCACACGGATACTCCCGCCGATATCCGTCCCGAAACCAACCATGCACCCGCGCATCGCGACCAGCACGCCCTCGCCGCCGGAGGAGCCGCCAGCCGTAAGCGCGCGGTTGAGCGGGTTCAGCGTGCGCCCGAAGACGAAGTTGGCGCTGTCGAGGGCGCCCATTGTTTGCGGGACGTTGGTTTTGGTCAGGACGATGGCGCCGAGGGCGGTGAGGAGCTGGATGAGGGGTGCGTCTTCCGTGGCCGGGCGGGAGACGAGCGCGGCGATGCCGATGCTGGTGTCGATGCCTTTTACGTTAAAACAGTCCTTGACGGAGACGGGGAGGCCGTGTAAGGGCCCGATGGGGCGGCCGGTGCGGTGGAGGTGAGCGTCGAGCTCGCGCGCGCGCTGGATGGCGCGGTCGAAGAGCGGTTCGGTGAGGCAGCGGGTGAGTTGGTGTGCAATGGCTGCTCTCTAGACTATGTTTAGTCTCGGGTGTCAAGAAGGAGGGGAGGCGAGGGCAGCGTACCTTGCAGAAAGCGGTGGTGACCTCCTCGGCTGTGAGGCGTTTGTCGGTCATGGCGCGTAACAATCCGCGGACGTCATACTGTTCTGTGATTTCGAGCTCGCGGGCAGAGAGTAGTCCGCAGGTTCGAGGGATGTCCATCACGTTGACTCGGCCGTACTGCTTGACGTTGGTGATGGATTCGGCGGGCGAGAGCATCCCGGGGGGGATCTGAGACTCGGACAGTCTCCATTCAGAGGGGATTTTGGCATCTGTTTCGGCCAGTTTACGCTGGGAGATGGCTGCGTAGGCCATTTTGGTCATACAATTTATATAGTTGGTGTAGCTGTCAAGTCATCAAGTGTTTGAAGCTGTGGATCTTTCTTTTGTATTAGTTAGTGGTTTAGTGTGTGCGGAGAATGCGGGGAGAGATTTGCCTCGGCTGGACGGTTAAGTCCTGATAGAGGGAGAGAGCTAGCGATAAAGGGAGTATGACAAGTTTAAGGAGACTGCCTCTAGGGCTAATCAATATCTAGATACATCCCGTCCAAACAAATTGTTCAATAACCACCGAAACGCCACCCGCAGCCGATTCCGCCAGCTGATACTCATCGTCAGATACGCCGAGTTCCACACCAGCCACGCCATGCGCCCCGTCAGTCCATGAGGGAGATACTTGTATCGCTGGCCGTCCTCGTGCGGCAGCTGCATCAACGCCCTCGCATCGCCAATATACGCCAGCGTGCCCATGTTCCGGAACGAGAACGGCGGCGCCTGCTCGATATCGTCTGCGTTCAACCGCGCCGCCAGCCACTTGGCTTCCTGGAAGGTCGCCTGCGCCGTCGCCGGGGGCGCCCCCGTCTCAGGCATGGCGTTGTCGCCGAGTGCAAAGACGTCGCGGAGGATGGCTGTTTGTCCGTTGTCGCTTGCCAGCTGTACGCGTAGCCGGCCGTCGACGAGCAGGGCGCCGTTTGGGCCTTTTTTGACCTTCCAGGAGGAATTCCCTTCCCGGATCTTCTCGTCCTTGGCCACCGCCGAAGCAGAAGGAAAGACATCCACCTCCTCCAACGAGTTTCGAATAAACTCGTTCATCTTATTCCCCGTCGCCCACACGCACATGCCGACGCCTACTTCCCCCTCCTCCTTGGAAGTCAGCGTCAGACACCGCTTCGGATCCATCTCGTACGGCGGCTTTGCACCGGGCTCCCCCCACCGCAATCCCGCCACATGATGCGACGTCTTGATCGTGATCCCCTCCTTCTTCATCGTCTCCATCGCATACGCCGCCAGCCGCTCATCAAACATCGACAGCACCGTCGGCGCAACATCGTACAGCGTGATGCGCGGGATCCCCTCCAGGCTGGGATACAGCCGCATGAGATCGCGGTAGATGAAATCGCGCAGCGACGCGGCCAGCTCCGTCCCCGTCGGCCCGGCCCCCACTATCGCAAAATGCAGCAGCCATTTCCTCATCTCCGGCGCCATCGTCGGCAGCACCGCCAGCTCAAAGCACTCGCGCACCCGCCGCCTTACCCGCCGGGCGTCCCCAATATCCTTGAAGAAGAGCGCGTTCTCTCGCACCCCGGGGGTATTAAACGTCTTGGTGACCGTCCCCACCGCGATGACAAGCTTGTCGTAGGGGACCGTAAACGTCTCCCCCGCCTCCCACCGTCGCTTGGCCATCGTGCTAATCACGCCCCCTGCCTCGTCTGTCCGCGGCGACTCCGTCACCCCGCTCTTGACGACCGTCGCCTCGCAGAGGATTGTCTTCCGGTCGAAGTCGACCGCGCGCGCCGCCGCCTGGATGAAGTCCACCTGCGCCCTGCGATCCCGGACCGGCTCGACGATATTCGAGAAATCGAGCGAGCCCCCGGCTGCATCGGTGAGCAGTGGCGTGAAGACGAAGTACGACCGCGGGGAGATGATCAGCGGCGCGAATTTACTCGACGAGAGCCGCCGCGAGAGACTGTAGCCTCCCCAGCCGGAGCCCAGGATGACGACCCGCTCTTTGCCTTGGTGTCTTTGTTTGTCGTCAGGGAAGGCCGTCGAGTGTTCGACTTGTGTTGCTAGGGACCGCCGGATGGTTCCTATTGATTTCCGCTGTAGTACTAGCATCCATGATGTGTGTCGTCTGCTCCCATGCAGAACTGAAGATGGCGCGGGCTTCATACTGCCGGACAAGACAATTGCAATGCTACCGACATTGTTATAATCTAAAGGTAGTCCTTTTATCTATGAAAATAGCTTTGACTTTAAAGTGACGGTGAAATCCGGGTCTGAACACATGATGACCTCACTTGCCCACGCCAGATTCATGGAACGTGGAAGAACGCGGATCTGACTCAAGCCAAACTCTAGTATATCCCTCGTGAAAATCCAGAGACAAAGACCTCTTTTCTCTCACCGAGAAACACAGTATAGATGTGCTGCAGCGGAGAGTCACAGTCCACAGTCGGCGCTCCACAGAGCGGCAGTAGATGCCGCTTCCACCCGTGCCGACAGTGCGGATCGGAGGATCCAGGATAGTATTTCTGGTGAGGATCACAAGGACGATATTTCATCTATTAATATATCGGATGAAAAGAATCCGCTTTGAGATTCAGGAGGAAATAGATGAGGTATTCGTCTGTGGATAGTCCGAGGTGCTGCGGAAGAGGACGGGAGATCCGATTCTCTTCAGACGGCGTAAGCACATGGAATCGTCGGACTCAGATTCATCTCTGCAATGTCAAGATGCGTTAGACCCGTAAATTAATCAGGACGAATAGAAGAAAAGATTCTCATGTGAATTCGTCGCAAGTATTCTCTAGCGGCATATCCCAACGTGGTCCTAGCGAAATGCAGTAATTTATTAATCTAACAGATAGATAGTAAGTATAGTCATATCTCATAATCATTAGTCGTGCCAATAACGGGAAGTCAAGCAGGACGACTCTCCCGAGTCGAAACAGGCAAAAGACTCCCTGCATAGCGCGTGTCCATGCTCCGGCGCGACTTGCTCATGCTGATAATCTTCTCCATCTCGATGGTGGCCTCGTCCAGCTGATCGTCTCGGCTCTGTCGATGGGACATCCACCGTCGCATGTGTCGCATCGCTTCCTGGCAGACATCGCCGATATCGTCGACAGACAGCGCCAGCAGAATCAACGGGATGGAGATAGCAAAGCCGATGCCAAAGGTATACTTGGCCACATACGACAGATGCAGCTCCTCGGCGCCGCCTGGGCCCTTGGGGAACTCCTTGATGTTGATTGTGAAAATGGATGTGATGAACGACAGCGGCAGGAAGATGATGGTGACAATCGTAAACACCATGATCGTCTTCCCCTGGCGGGTGGTGCCCGCCGCCTGGTCGCGCGCGAACCGGGCCTCAAACGCGTTGGCGTGTTTCTGCTTCAGATCGAGCAGGTCCGTAATGGACGAGTAGATGCGCTCGGCCTGCTTGTCCATCCGCTCAATGTCCTTGAGGTGCATGTCGATCGTGCGCTGCTGCTCCTTGAACCGCTTCTTGACCTCGTACTGCGACCGGTGCTGGCCGTGGTAGATCTCGCAGATCACCTCCTGGAAGTCGTCCAGAATGTGCTGCTGGTGCTGCAGTACGGTGCGGATCATATTGAGCTCGTCACGGATGTCCTTGGCTTCCGCCAGCAGGTCCGTCTCCTGCCCGATATCGAGAAGGTTGTCCACGAACAGCGGCTGCTCGTCTTCCTCGGCGAACTGTTTCCCTTTTGCATTGTCTGCGTTGCGCGCAAACCGGCTCAGCTTGCGGTGGTTCTTGAGCCAGTCCGATGCTTGCGCGGAGGCGCTGTTGAACATGTTGAACAGCAGCGTCTCACGGTCCGTGGCGACACCGATCGACGCCTCGAACATGTCCAGGAACTGGTATTCCTCGTCTCCCATGCGGTGCCGGTCGAATACCCCCGAGCAGCGGTTGGTGATGATGATCGCCAGGTCGTAGACGGACCGCACCGGTTCCCGCGTCTTGGAGTTAATATCCTCAATAATGCCATCCAAGACGTTGAGCGGGTCGTTCTTCGGCTGCTCCCACCGCTGCGCAAAGCTCGTGACAATGAGGTTCGTCCCCAAAATCCACATCCACAGCTGATCCACCATGAAGATTTTGGGATCCGACCGGAACCGATCGCGGCCCTGCCCTTTGGTCTGGTAGCGGTAGATCACCTGGTCCTGATCGCGACTCTGCGTATCGATGTTCGGATAGAAGAACTGGTCCAGAGTTCGTCGCACGTGGAGCGACGTCGTCGACGAGGCCAGATGCGCACTGATGAGCATCTCGTCCCTTGTAGACGATCGCGAGATCCCCGGGCTTTGGAAGCTGAGTGTTTCGGCTCGCTGGATAGCCTCTTGCATCTTCTGCCTGCGCTCTGCCGTCTCAAAATGCAAATAAGGCATGAACACGCACACGTTGCAGGCCGGAGTAAGTGAGTGGTCTTTGCAGAGTGACAGGGGCGCTCGACGCTTTTCATCTTGGGCCGATGAATGCTTACTACCCTTTGTGTCGCTCCTAGGCGAGGACCCAGACTTGCCCCGTTTAGGCGTCCCTTTGCTCTTTTTGCCCTGCGAGCTGCTCAACCCGTCATCAAGCGAATCCGTCCGCTCAAGCTTCATCCCCTGGACTTTTGATTTTTTGGCCTTGGAATGGTCGTCGTTCCCGTTGACAACGATTGTAGGCAGCTCCGTGTCGACATTCTCCTTGGGCCGCTCATACTCGCGGAAAGGGCGTGCTCGGGGGCTGCTCTGACACAGCGGCCGCATGAAATGGGAGTGCGTCCGTTGGCCTCGGTGCTGGTAATTGAAGGACCTCTCCAACCCCTTGAAGCTCTCCACGTCGTGAGCCCCTTCTTCGATAAACGACTTGGTGAGCAACGCCTCCACCCAGGCCATGTTGTTCGCGGGCAGATGGATCCACCGAAAATCTGTCGCTTTGCTGTCCGCTGGGATGGTGCGGAACGCCTGCTTGCGTGGATTTTCCGCGTCGCGCCCATACAACAGGTTAAACACGGACGTCTTCTGGACCCTATTCTCGTTGTGAAAGTTGCCAAAGTCAACCACCGTTGCGTCAAAGGCTTCGCAAGCGCCCCGCGCATCCGCCGACAGCGCATCGATATTATTGAACGGCGCCAGGAGCAGCACGATGTCCTTCCGCTTGAACTGCGCCGCTCGGAGGAACGGGGTGCTCCCGAAGTTGTCCCGAACACGGCGTTTCAGGTCCGGCCGCTCGAGCAGGCACTCGACGACCTCGCGGTGACCGGCCTGCGCAGCCAGATGCAGCGGCGTGACCCCGTTCAACAACTGAGCGTTGATCTTGGCCCCAGCCTGCAGCAGCAACCGCACGATCACTACCGAGCCCTTGTCACAGGCATTGTGCAGCGGCGTCCAGCCACCATCGCTCCGCGCCTCAATGTCCGCCCCGTGCTTGAGCAGCAGCTGCACGATATCCTCCCTGTCATGCGCCGCCGCGATATGCAGCGACGTCTTGTTCCTCGACTCGACGGCATTCACATCCGCGACCGGGCCCCGCCGTCGTGTGAGCAGCAGCTCCGCGACGCGCAGCTTCCCCGTCGCACAAGCCCAGTGCAGCGGCGTCCGGCCCAGCTCATCCCGCCCATCCGTCCCGTCAAGCGCACACCCCGTCCCCAGCAGAAGCTCAATCACATCCTCGCCCCAATCACACTGCTTATCCGCCGCCAGGTTATGCAAGACATTCCTCTTCCGCAGATCCCTCGCATTGACGTCCGCCCCGCGCGATATCAACACCTGCAAGACGTGCCAGTGATTCCTCCACGCAGCCGTCATCAGCGCCGTCCGCCCTTTCTTATCCGCCGTCTCCGTCGATGCCCCGTAATCCAGTAACAGCTGCACGATCCGGACATGGTTGTGCTCGACGGCGCGCAGCAGCGGCGCGACACGGTTGCTGGGGACCTCGGTCTTCGCGCCGAGACTGAGCAGGTACTGCGTCGCGGCGATGGATCCGCGCTCGCAGCTGCGCATGAGTCCCACGCGCAGGAAATTGTCGCTGAACTGCCCATTTTCGCGGGCCAGGTACACAATCTGCCGCAGCCTTTCTAGGTCGTCGTTCTCAACGGCGCGGAGCAGGCGGGGTTCGAGCCGGTCGTGGCTGTCGCTAGCGATGCTGGAACGCGACCGTGACATGGTGCTGTTTCAATTCCTTTCTTAGGCCATCATAAATCGATCAATCTGCGTATCATAACCAGCCACTTAATGCCAATTTTTATATGGAGTATTCAGTAGCTGTACGGGTAATCCAACCCGGTCGGATGGAACAGAAAAATCTGGGGAGGAAACCGGTGAAAATTCTGGATCAGAGCGCATCAGGGGCTGAAACGAAATTAAAAACCGAAATCAGCCCCAAGTCCGCGCGGTACGAGGTCGATAAATTAAAGAATCGCCGGACACATTTTAGCTGCAGCTGGTCGGGTCATGATCAGCCGCGGGCTGCGACCAGTGCAGCCACACGGGTCTGGACTCTTGATACCTGTGATCGTGATTACCTGATCGACAAGAGCAGATCAGTAGATTAGAGAGATGCAAGATAAACCAGATCGTTGCAGAAGAAGTAGGAGAACGTAAGGACGATAGGATGAAATGGGATGGCTTGTCGGTGATTTCGATCGACTGCTGATCTGAGTTACTGATCATTTGTGCTCGGAGCATATCTCGGGGTTCAAGTTGTGATTCAGTAATTGTACGATGGAGAAGAGATCTGAACACCGGTATTTAGACCTGATTAAAGAAAGCGTGCAAGTTCCGATGGTTGATGGTCTGGTCTGTAATATAGGAGATGTCTCGGGCAACGATAGCAGGTAGATCAAGTCTCCGCACACGACCAAAGGTCCCTCAATTACATTATTGCCCATCAGGGCATATTATCTCTATCCGTCTCTTCTTAAATAACATCAAACCAGGTGGTCGGCCCCGGTCGGTCTAGAAAGCGATTTCCATAAGATGACAGGTCGGAAAAGAAAAATAGGGGACCCGAAAGATGACGCAAAAACCGAGGACCAGTATAGGACCAGTGTAGGAGACCAGGGCCAAACCTATCAACCCGTTCAATTGTTTATAGTATTAGGCATTCTTTCTCTGGAGCGAAGTTCGCGTCGAAATTTAGGTTGAATTCCCCGTCTTATATTGCGCCGGCCCATCCCTTTGGTCCTTGTAAAATGTGTGCACTCCATGAATGATTAATGAACAATAGTAAAGAGACAAACAGAAATGGAATATAGCAGTGAATGAAGGGGGAATGCGGACTGAACAAGGTGATATGGGAATCGGACAAGTAGTAATGCAGATCAGATGAAATGAATTCAATGCTCCCAGAAACAGAAACAATGGCATAGGATGCGTTCTCTTTCGGATTCTGTACACCGGATTGTGTTAGGGTTCTCATTTCTTCGCTCTTTGATTGGGAACTTGCTTCAGAATATCATCGAAGCTCATGTTGGGGTTGAACCGGCTGATGGGCCTCGCTGGTGGATCAACGGGCGCAACTCCAGCGGGCAATGGGAGGGCCTCGAGACCTGGATAAATGGAATGGCGATGCTCGGCTCGAGCTCGCGCAGCGGGTGAGCTGGTGCGAGGAATCACCGGAGGCGGCGGTGGAGTGAGACCGTTGGGAGTCAGGAGTTGTGCTGATTGCTGGGGTTGCTCAGCGGACGAACCGCCTGACGATGGCTGTCCCGGGTAGGGCGAAGATAGCGAGGATTCGTTGTCATAGGGGTCGTCGATGGTCGGAGGTCCCAGAATGGCGTCCTTTTCTGCCCATTGCTCCGCCACCTGCCAGCAATGACTGCGGCGGTAGATACCCTCGACGCCGTTGACCACGACGTCCGACGGCAGGCTGACCACCCCGGCTCCGCCGGCGACACCAAACCAGCTACGTGCTGTCTTGCCATCGTTGTGGATCCAGGGTGCACCACCGCGGGGTGCGATGCACAGAAGATACTCGACGCCTTCGGTGTACTTGACATCCTGTACATCCACGACGAGCAACGGTAGAGCTTGGATCACACAGTAGAGGAAGATCCACTGACCGCAGCGGAGATCGATGAGATCTTCAACATTCTTGCCGTGCGCACAGCGCCGTTCGAATTGCATAAACGCTTCGATGAACGGGGTTGGCCGCATACTCTCCCGCGTGTAAGAGCCCATGAGCACGGCATTGATGTCCGAGTCTTTCAATTTCTTGGCCCTCCGCTTGGCCTCCTTCTTGGGGTCCACAGCCTTCAGCTGCAGCGAGTCCAATGACGGGAACTGGGGAACGTCGAACGGGATGGGTGGCTGAACCGGCGGCGTGGCCCGGTCGTACTCACTCAACACCTGGCGGAGGGCACGGATCATGACTTCCTGCGTGTCTTCGGACCCGACCGTCTCAAGGGTCGCCATATCCACGGTTCGGGTGGTCAGGGCGGTCCGATCGACCAACATGTCGTACAGATTGGCAAAGTCGTCGTACAGGTCCTTCAAGACCTGGCGGTTGAGGCCGCTCTCTTCGAATTGATTCTTCTTCGACCGGGCCTTTGGTGGCCATGAGCCGTACTTTTGTCGGTAGTAGTGCACGGTAAACCGTCTGAACTCCATAAATGCAGCCTTCCATAGCTTGAATCGAACGACCTTGCTTTCCGCGGACGTGGTCGAGTTGGCCACTCCGGAGAACACCGAAGGGAAATCAAACTCGTTCAATTTGCTATGCAAGACCCGAAGGCGCGTATCCAGGTCGATAAAGCCACGTTCCATCCGTTTTTGTGTGACGGGGCTGATGAGACTGAACTTGGGACTCCGCAGCTGCTTCAGCTCGTCCAGCTTACCGACACCGTGGACGAAACCCTCGAGATACAGTGGAAAGAAGCGCAGACGTTCTCCCAGCACGATGGCCTCAATGGTCTTTTCTCGGCTTTTCCGGACATCGTCAAGTTGCAGTTCGTCGCAGTAGTTGCTGAAGCTGCTGGTGGCTGTTTCGCCGAAATTCGTTCCGTCAAAGTTGCTGAACTCGAAGCGAGACAGTAGACTGGCCACATCCATGAAGATCGAGAAGAGCGTGGGTGACCGGGGAGTAGCAATCAGGGATTGGCCAAGGAGGAAGGCGAAGAGATTGCGGAATAAAATAAGCGTCTCGGTGTCCTCTGGCGAGATTCGACTGTCGGAGCTGGACACATCGCTGTTCAGCGGTATTGGAAGGTATAGATGAAGCTCTTGGAACTCGTCCAATCCCTCATCATCCACAAAGGCCATCCGCCTACTGCTGGTACTGTCGTTATCATTGTCCGCGTATCCGTCCTGAGGAGTCAGGGGAGGTGAGGCGGGACTGGTCGTAGGACTACTCAATGACAAGGAGCGCGCTTGTTGCTCCACGGCGTTAACTCTGTTCGGGTCTGTGCCCCGGGCAAGGAATGTGAGGGACGGTGATTCAGCGAAAATGGTTGAATGGACTTTGAACGAGGGTGACCGTCCAGTGTTTTGAGGGAACAGGTAGACATAAGTGTCACCACTTTCATTCCACAATTCCGGAACCTATGGTAGCACGTAGAAATTAGTGGACTTGAGTCCAAACCTCGTGGACGAAGAGTAGGAACAGACAAGCGGCATACCTGTTCGCCCCGGATCAAAGGGCCCACATCATACAGGATCTTCTGATCCAAGCCGGCGATCCAAGCACTCGGCATCTGAGTATTTGTATTCTGGGGTCTCGCATCTACAGAGCTCGCTCGCGCTCGTCCCGGGATCCAGCTCCGTCGTTTTGAAGGGGTCCCCGGGCGCGAATCTGGTCCAGTTCCGGGAACGAATAATCCCCCAGCGCTGGAGGGTCTGCCTCTGCTCTGCGGTCTGCCATCGGGGGAATTGTTGGCACTATTGGCAAGATCCTGGTTCACGGCCAGGAGTGATGGAGGCGGAGGCAGAGGCTCATCCAAGTCGAATTGATCGATGGGACCTGTCGTTCTGATGCTCCGGGTATCTGAATAGTCGGACTGAGGATTGGATACTAATCGCGCGGGGCGGGAGCTGCTCCGCGGGCGTTGCTGTACATCCTGCGGGTATTGGTCGGGAGAGTGCTTCGGGAAGCTCGGAGAGTTTGGTGATGAGGAGAGAGAACCATCTTTGTTTGACCCCAATGAAAAGAGCGACGATATGCGCTTGGCCGATCTTACAGGAGCTGACAACATCTTAGAGGTCCGCTGTACAATAAAGCAATTGGTAAGTTGGAGAGTCGACAGCAGCGGGGGAGTGGATGTACTTCGAAAGACAATCACCAAAAAAAAAAAAAAGAAGGCAAGACACAACAGAAAGATGAGGTAAGACTCAATCGCCAACCATGCGAAAAGAATGGACTAAACCATACAAAAAGACGGTTTAGGAAAGTGGAAGAAACGAAGGACGAGTCAGGTAGAGGAGGAGAGCGACAGAGGAGAGTGGTTGTCTCTGGCGCGTGTGTCTTGGGGAATGTGATCGGCAGGAGGGGGATCAGAGGAGGAATGATCAGTACTTAGACTTACCTGTTACTTGCCAGCTGTGCTTGGCCAAGGCTCTGATTGATACCTTGGTTCTGCTTGAGGTTTCCGGAAGTCCAAGGAGTGATATGACGAATGTATGGCACTAAGCTGGTATATAGTGGAGTAGGGAGAGCATGGATTATTGACTTGACATGACTTGACGTTCGCGAAGTTGTACAGCAGCAGCGAGTGAGAAAGTTGAGAGGAGGGATGAGAGGAGATAGTTTTGATCTCTCATTCTTTTTGAGATCCTTGAGCTTCCGATTTAACGATTTCATCATTATTTTATGCTGTCAAAAAAATTATTTTCTTTTTTTTTTTCTACTTCTTTTTTCCTACTTAAATCTTTTCTATGATGGATCATGGCTGTACTGGACTACTGCAGGTCTCTAGCTCTAGTTTAGTTAGTGACTGCGGGTGGGGAATCTCTTGGTTTCTCGGCTCTACGGTAATTATGATTGACTAACATGTCTAGTATTGGATAGTTTTGAGGAGATCAGGGAGTGGCTGTGTCTGAAAACAGTGAGATATCGACAATGACCATTTAAACCTGTCAAGGTGATTGATGTTGGTTGCCCCGCCTCCTGATGAGCTGTGCCGTGTACGTACACTGGACAGCCTTCAGCATCATCAGACGACTCAGATCTCATCTCATCTGATCCTGTCTGTCTTCTGAAATACTCGAGCATGGCTGAGAATATCTCCAACATTGATTTCAGCATGGTCAGTAAAGCTGTCCATTTTCTTTCTATCTGTCCGTCAAAAGGCATGCTCTGTACTATTGGGCCTATGAGCACTGTGGAAAATGCACAATGTGCCGTGTCTAATGCAAGTATGAACCATACAGCCACCTACGCGGTCGATGATAATGCCATCCGCCAGGGGTAAACCGTTTGCAATTTATTTAGCATTTTGACACGGATAGATGCTGATTATCAGATTTCTCCTGGGAAAGAAAAAAGTCAGCTAGAGACAAACCCACATAATCAAGTAAATCGGCATTTTTGGCTGGAATGCCAATGTGTGGTTAGGAACTCCGCCTCGTATGATTCTACGTTTCCCAAGCCTACGGAGTACACTCGTCACTGGGGCGTTTCCACCTTGCCTCTACGAGTTATTGATAATGACCAATGGTATGCGCATAGTTTCCCACATTTACGTATTCTCTGCAGTGATGCTGGGATAGAATATGGTAGCCTTGGTGAGGCTCAGGGGCAGTCGACGCTAGATATCTGCCTAGAAGCAGCAAGGAAGACGGTAATCCTCATGGAGTATTAAGGTACCTGTTCTGCTAAGAATAGAAACTCACCTGCCGGCCTGTTTTTGATTGGTTTGTTGGTGCTTGGCTTTGGAAGGATCCGTAAGGTAGTGAACTGTACAGGGGCATACACTAATTGTGTTGGTCTTGTTTGTTTGGTTTGGTTTGATTTGATATAAATCCTTCATCCATCATAATCAGTTAACGGAGCATTCCTACACTGATGCTCAGCCATGGCTGGTATCCGCAGTGCCGGGAAAATGCTTGCAAACCCCGACCGGAAATCGGTAACAGTTCGTCGGCCGTGGTAAGGTACAGTACGGTAATCCCCCACACCCAAGCTTGCAAGTCATCCGGATGCTTTTTTTCTGTGGTGCTTCAACTGACTATCCACAATAATAACAGGAGTAGATTAAATGTGAATTAATTCCTCACTAGTCTCACGTTTGCTCATATTGAACGTACTTGGTCGTAAGCTATCCAGATCAGGACAGACACTAAAGGGAAGGAGAAAAGGAAAAGAAGCACGCGTATTTCTCTGTCTCAGACACTCGGTCATTTCAAATGGCGGCGGCCAACGTCACCGGACTGACGTGTCCTTGTCCTTCCACACTGAAATTTTCAACGACAACACCAAAGGTCATCGACTGAAACCGATACATGGTTAAAGTTATCTACTCCGTACACATACTGGCAAGTGGCAAGTGACAGCTGTCGACATGGGTCTTGTTTCCCCCGAAGAGCTGATCGATCTCTTCAGAGGCTGGCCTAACCCTGCCCTGTTGCCCACCACCGCCTTGGCTCAAGCATCCGCCACCGTCCTGTCCACGCCGTCCATCTGGACCCCAGCCCTGCTGTACGGTCCTGATGATGGGTATCTGCCCCTGCGAAAGAGCGTTGCTGAATGGCTGACCCACTTTTACAAACCACGCGATCCGGTTTGTTTCGATCGGATCTGCATTACTGGAGGTGCCAGCCAGAATCTGGCATGTATCTTCCAGGTCTTCACTGATCCAAGTTACACCAGACATGTCTGGATGGTAGCGCCTGCGTATCACCTGGCGCCTCGGATGGTGGACGATGCCGGCTTCGCGGGTCGTATCAGAGCCGTTCCGCAGGATGACGCGGGGCTTGATCTTGAATATCTCCGTCGGGAGATGGAGGCCGCCGAGCGGAAAGCTAATGAAGAGCAGAGATTCGAACCGGTACGGTAGACACTGGCTGTATATCAGAGAGATCTCTCTCTCTCTCTCTCTCTCTCTCTCTTCCACCCACCAACTGATCTGTAAAGAAACATAAACCTCCGAGGCCATGGGGGAAAATCTACAAACACCTCATCTATGCCACGCCGACATTTTCTAATCCCACCACGCGGACCATGTCCCTGTCCGATCGGGAGAAACTGGTCCAGCTTGCGCGCGAGTTTGATGCCTTGATCGTCACAGATGACGTCTACGATTTCCTCCAGTGGTCCGTGAATCCAGACCGCCCCCTTGCCGCGCCCGACGAGGCACGCGTGCCTCGGCTGGTAGACATTGATCGCTACCTGAACGGAGGCCCCCAGGACGAATGGGGAAACGTCGTCAGTAACGGGAGCTTCAGTAAGCTCATCGGCCCTGGCATGCGGACCGGATGGGCAGAAGGCACGGCCAAGTTTGCCTACGGTCTTTCTCAAGCGTATTTCCTCGTAAACGAGACATTGACCGAAACTGTATGAGCTGATGACTGGCAGAGGTTCATCGCGGTCTGGAGGGGCGCCGTCCCAAATGGCCTCCACGATAATTGCTCAGTTGCTCGCCAACGGGGCCTTCCAGTCTCATCTGACTGAGGTCTTGCAGCCCGCCTATGCGCGCAGGTACCATGTCATGATGTCGGCTATCCGCAAACACCTGCTCCCTCTGGGCGTAGTAGTGCCCTACTCCTCCGAGGTCGTCGGCGGATACTTTATCTGGGTGCGTCTTCCGAGTCCGTTACGCGCAAGTGATATCGTGCAACTGGCTATGGAGCAGTCGAAATTAAAGGTGGCTGCTGGTGAGATTTTCCAGGTTCCCGGGGACCCGGTGGACCGAGGCAACGACTTTCATGATTTCCTGCGACTTTGTTTCGCCTGGTCTGAGGAAGATCAACTCGCTGAAGGAGTGCGACGACTAGGATGCGTCATCCATGATGCTTTAGTTGGGCCCACAGCCATTTCTACGTAGTTTAAGTGGTTGCAGTGCCACTGTACCTTACTTCTCTGGTAGTGACCATGGTTCAAAGCGGATCGGCCCGCATGCATACCATACCTATCCTCAGTGGTCCTTGTTCATTGTTCACCTTCCACCTTCCATCCAATCTTAGAAGCTCTAGCCATCAAGACAATCATCTATGCTGTAAACATCCATGGTCAACACCGTGTCTCATCATCACCCTTTCTATCTCCACCTTACCACCCGGTCTACTAGCATGGCCATGCAATCATCGACAATATGATTCATTTGAAGTACGGGGAAGTGAAAGTTACCAATCCGCTTGATTGCTGAAGGAGTTACCCCATATATGTAAATGAACTGCCGTAGTTCCACCACGAACAAGTTCCGGAATACTTACAGAGTACTATCGTGCCAGTATGTTTGGACTTGAAGTGTGGTTTCTAGCGGGGAGGCATTTGAAATCAAGATATTGAGGTTGAGCTAAACGCAGGAGAGCTATTCACAGGAGGACGACGTGTAATCGTTGCGTTTGCGTGTTGGTCACATGACGAGATATTCACTGCTACGGCGTAATGTCGACAGGGATTAGCCTCCCAACGCCGAACGCCGAAACTACTACTGGTACAACAAGAAGAGGGCTTAAGTTGAAACAATGCATCATTCAGCGATCCCGAGGGAAGACCAGTCCTCTCTTGAGTCATAGCACTCGAACGAGAAAGTAGACACCCGCTGCCATGTGAGTTGCACATTTCCAATACAAAGGATATCTCCATTGACCGTAGCAGGTCCTCACGCCGCCGGAATGGAAAGCCCGCCTCCTGCGAGCCATGTCGCAAAGACAAAGTCCGGTGTGATCATGCGCATCCTGTATGTTCCCGCTGTCTGCAGCGCGGCAGCACCAGTCGGTGCTTTTATCATCCTGCGCCTCTGACACGGGCTACGAGGCGGAGTCGGGGGTTCATTGAGGATCAGCATGCTTCTACAACGTCCCAATCTGAACTCCGTGGGCCACCTGGGGCTTTGTCGTCTTCAGGCTCGAGGTCAGACCACTTGCTCTCAGCTGGATACTTGTGACCGACCAGTTTTGTTTCCGTCCTGGGCGAAGGAGACGGTGCGAATGAGCTAGTCCCTCCCGCTGATGAAAGCACTGCGGCGTCGTCTGTTCCAGCGTGGTGGGTGAAGAGAGCTATCGAGGTCGTCGGCCATCTCGTGGAATTTCCTACTCTCAAGCAACTGATACTGGAATTCTACGGTGTCAGTCAGGCTGCCGTGATTGCAGCACCTTTCGTCCTGACTGCACTATCTCAGATGCAGGATACCTACCATGCGTACCAGCTGGGTCAAGGGGAGACAGAAATTCCGGCGTTGGTCGCAACCGTCCTTGACAACACGAGGCAGAAATTTAATGTCCCGCCTACGGTGGACGGAGCGCACTTCCACAGGCTCTACACAGGCTCTTGCCTGCGTTTGGAGATACTTGGCGTTGTTTATGCTCTGGCAGGTCGAGCGAGTCAATTCGGGTTGGGGCGACCGAAGAACAAGCTCCTGTCCTCACGCTTTGCGCGCAGGATGCTCTCGGCGAGTGACACCGCACTTGAAACGTGCAAATATCTATCGCCTGTGAATGACCTTACGCTCTGGCTACTCCACGAAAATCTTCTCTTGTCCACGTTGGTCCTTGGTCACTTGAGTGAGTTGTACATGTCATGCGTGAAGCAGGCAGAAGACTGACGATGTCACAGGCTCAGTGACCTGGCATCGGCTAGGCGAACTCGCGACATGCATTTTCGAGCTTGGTTTGCACCGGGATTCGGATGAACGCACTGATCTTCCGGACTTCCTGCTGGAGTCCAGACGCAGGCTATTCGCCGCTGTCTATCAATGGGACAAGAGTATTGCGACCTTCCTGGGCCGACCGCCCCGGATCTCGTGGAGACATTCTGATTGCCGTCTGCCTCTCGATATCAGCGATGAGGCTCTTACTGGGAGTAGAGAGCTTGCGCAACGATCAGTGACGGCGGAAGGGTGGAGTTTTCATGCTGTCTACCAGCGTTCAGGCTGGATCCGACTGCGCTTCCTTATCAGCACGTTTCGGGAGGAAATCCTGGAGCTGTCCTTGACGAAGTCCAGCGAGGACCGGGACGAGCAATTGAGGTGAGCTTGATCCCTCATGGACTAACGCTGAAGGCTAACCGCGGATCAAAGAGACGTCTCCCGCCGTAGCCACCAGGCCTGGGACTCGGTACCTAGTCATCTTCACTATACAGAGGACTGCTGGAACACTCATCAACCGATTAGCGTCAAGGTCATGCTCATTGTCTCATACCTGGCGTTTCTCTACAATGAGTTTCTAGTGCAGCGGCTGTTGGTTCTCAACAGCACAGAATATAGCACTGCATTGGTCGATGTGAGTTCGACCATCCTCTCGACAGTCTTGACCTTTGGCAGACAACAGGAATGGGCGGTTGATATCCATCGCGACTTTATCTGGACAGTAAGCGATTTCCCCAAGGTACTGCCTTGCACGAAAGACGCGACTAACCAGTCGCAGCTTCTTCTCTACGGCTTTCCCAGCGCGAGTGTTTTACTCAGAGCGCTCCAAATGCACGCCAGTACAAATCAGTTACCGAGCGTTTATCCTCGAGGCATTCTCGTTCGGCACATCAGTGTCTTTATCTCGCATCTCGAGTCAATGACCGGGCCAGGCACCGCCAACAATGCATTTTTCAGCCGAGCGACTCGAGTCTTCTCTCGCATCATGGACGAAATTCTCGCGCCCGAAGCGGCGACTACAACTGAAACCTCTGCTGTAGATTCTGTGGATGATCTAGACGTCTCCTTGTTTTCCGATTTTGAGGGAGTCGGCCTCTTGGATACAATGGATTTCGCATCCGTCCTTGATCAAGTTTGGTATTAGTGGCTACTATTTAGGGAGTATGCAGCTCTCGCTGCTCGCATTTAGCAACTATCTCACTAGTCCTATATCGATCGTTGCAGAGTTGCCAAGGCAGCACGGCAGACATACTTTGCCCCCTGGCCTAGATAATGCGGTGGATCCACGTGCCGTGGATGCAGTTTGTTCTGCGTAGCCTGTAGTCTACTCCCGTGTTTTATCCGCATATGCAGTGCCAATATTTATTACAAGATGGGCGGCCGAACTGTGAGGAAACCGACTCAACCACAATAGCGTGATTGAACTTTTCCTCCTGCTGACGTATTATGATGAATCCTGTCTCAAGCGACGTGACTAGATGCCGGTCCCGCGTCAAGAATGTCGAGTCAAGTACCCAGTTGATCCTCCTGACGACCAAGTGGATCCCTGGGCCGTTGATCTGCGCGTCGAGACCGCACCGCACGCGCCATTGGTCTCGACTGCTATGTGAGGATTCTTGTCATTCTACGTGCAGGTGCCAGGTACGCGAATCATCGAGCAGATCGTTGAATCCTCAGCGACAAAACAGGAAATATGTCGAGCATGGAATGTCCGCGCGCTTCTATGCCAGGGACTGTCGGCCTACCGATTCCAGGGCAAAACCGTTGCGAGGCTATCGCATGGACAGGTGAGACTGAAGTCCAGAACCGGGATGAAAGGAATTTGAGTCTTCAGTTTACTCGTAGACAGTATGTGGGTTGTGTCGTCCTGGACGATTTCGAGGTATGTTGTCTAGGCCCTAGGATTTGCGTCCGGTATATAGGCTACTGGGCGGATCTATTGCTTTTGCTCTAGGAGCTTTCTTCTTCTTCCTCTTCTGCCTCTTTCTCCTCTTGTGCTTGCAAGTACCTATCTTCCTGCTCCCTTTCTCGCGAGTCGAGACCTCTCCTTTCCAAGACTACCCTCACTCCCTTGCAAGTTGCAACTCGGTTCGAATCACTAAGGTACCTAATTCGAGGTTAGTATCTCCACTTTCCCGATCATGGAACAGAGCAGTCGAGGCTTGTTCTTCCTTTAATTTCATCAAATGGACTGCTAATATTTATAGACCAGGAGAACTATCCTCAAAGGGTGTATCATTCAGTCCATCACTGCTTTCTGCTGCTTGAAGCGTTTCATCGGCCCGTCTGAGTGTTTCACGCTCGACCAGGAAGGCCACCGTTTTTGAATCTGATTGGTTGCCGACAGTGGGTTTCCGCCCAACGACTACCGCTGATTGGCTGTTATTCACTCCTCAACTATAAGAGGTAATTTCAAAACATTACGAGGTCTGCTCCCTCATTTAATGACTGTTATTGGTTTTGAATGCTGTATTGTGGCGGTATTTGTTTGAGAAGTGACAGTCGCTATACAATTCACTCAGGCTTCATTGTTGTTTGGCCTGAGCAATTATTCTGATCTAGTCCCTCTTCCTACCTAATTATTAACACTTCTCTGTCTCTCTCACCTGTTTCTATCTCTTCTGTTACTGTCTTCTCTCCTTTCCTTCACTTCTGGTGGTGTGGTGCTGTTGTTGTCTCTCCTTCCTTTTTTCATCTGTACCTTCTTCCCTTCATTCTTTGATATTCCCTTGCAGTCTCACTTCTTTCCTTGATACGCCCTCCATTCATTTCTCTTCTACGCGCCAAAGAACAAGGCGTGGGAAGACTCTCAGTACTGGTTACTGACCAAAATTGTTTGCTACTTGCATCGATCATTGCTGGCTCAGTGATCATATCGCAGTCAATTGAAGATGGCCTTTCTTCGCACCCCAATCGTGGTCTTGCTAGCGCAGATACTGCTCTTTCTGGGCCTTGTCAATGCAGTTCCTACCCCAGAGGCTCTCGATTTGCATGCAAATCTAGCTAGAGATACTGCGTCAAGCTACTGGGTGGCTAATATTAAGCGTCAAGGAGCAGTGGCTTTTGGCCAGAGCTCAGGTTATCAGGTTTACCGCAATGTGAAGGACTTTGGCGCCAAAGGTAGTCTCCTTCTACTGAGATCACGCTACTTTGCTAACCGACAAGCTAGGCGACGGAGTAACCGATGATACTGCGGCGATCAACCAGGCCATGTCTTCCGGTAACCGGTGCGGAAAGGGATGCGATTCCTCTACCACCACTCCCGCTCTGGTCTACTTTCCTCCCGGTACATACATTGTCTCGAAGCCCATCATCCAGTACTACTACACTCAGATCGTCGGTGATGCCATTAATCTTCCTGTGATCAAAGCATCCGCCGACTTTACAGGCATGGCGGTGATTGATGCCGACCCGTACGAGAATGACGGCTCAAACTGGTACACCAACCAGAACAACTTCTTCCGCGCCATTCGCAACCTTGTCATCGACCTCAGGGCCATGCCTATGAGCTCCGGTGCTGGTATCCACTGGCAAGTGGGTCAGGCAACCAGCTTGCAGAACATCCGCTTCGAGATGATCAGGGGAGGAGGCGACGCCAACAAGCAGCAAGGTATCTTCATGGACAACGGCTCCGGTGGTTTCATGTCCGACTTGACCTTCAATGGTGGCAACTACGGCATGTTCGTTGGCAACCAGCAGTTCACGACCCGCAACCTGAGCTTCAACGACTGCAACACGGCTGTTTTCATGAACTGGAACTGGGCCTGGACCTTCAAGTCCATCTCCATCAACAACTGCCAGGTCGGTCTCAACATGTCCAACGCCCCTCAGAACCAGACAGTTGGCTCCGTTCTCCTGCTCGACAGCTCGGTTACCAACACTCCCACTGGCGTTGTCACCGCGTTCACTCAAGACAGTATTCCCGTCGGCGGCGGGGTGTTGATCCTTGAGAATGTCGATTTTACCGGCTCCAATGTGGCCGTTGCCGGTATCTATGGGAACACTATCCTCAAAGGCGGATCTGTTGTGGCTAGCTGGATCCAGGGTAACACCTACAGTCCAACGGCGTCTCTCAACAAGCGCGCCACTCAGCCCAAGGTTCGCGTGGTGACAGAGACGGTTGTCGAGACCGTTGTTGCTTGTCCTGCGCAGTACAGTGAGACCCTAGAATCCGCCCCGGCAAGAACGGCGCCTGCGGCAGCATCGACAGAGGCTCGCCAATCCAATGCAGATGCTTCCGAGTCGACTCAGGTAGCAGGCCAGCTCAGTGCAGCCATGACTACGCCTGTAGTGTATCCCACTCTGTCTGGCGGCCTTTCCAGACCTGGTTTTGGTTCTGGTTCGACCATCAGCTCTCAAGTGTCGTCGAGTAAAAATCCACCTGCCCCGCCTGCGGAAACTGTCGCTGCCGGAAAGCCTTCAGTAGCTCCATCTGGTGGCGGCTCCGCCGGAGAGACGCCTGTCGTCGTTCCAAATGCTCCGCACACCACGAGCACTAAGCCAGATATTCCCACTGGGCAGGTATCCGCCTCCTCGGCCACGGCCGCTTCGACAGCCGTGGTCCACAGTGCCGGTGCATGCGCGAGCAAGGCAATCACCAAGACGCGTGTTCAGACCGTCATGCCTCAAGCGACCAAGCCAAGCTCTTTATTGAATGGCCCGAAAGTGTTTGAGCGATCCAAGCCGCTGTATACTGAATACGCCGCTTCGTCCTTTGTGAGCGTCAAGTCGGCTGGTGCCAAGGGTGATGGCCAAACCGATGACACCGCCGCCATCCAGAAAGTGCTGAATAGCGTGACGGAAGACCAGATCGTCTACTTCGATCACGGTGCCTACATCATCACCGACACTATCAAAGTGCCCAAGAACATCAAGATCACCGGTGAGGTCTGGCCCCTTCTCATGGCTCACGGCGACAAATTTGCCGACGAAAAGAACCCAATTCCCCTTCTTCAGATTGGTCAGCCCGGCGAAAAGGGCTCTGTGGAGATCAGCGACCTCGCCATCCAGACCAAGGGCCCGGCGCCCGGTGCAATCCTGATGGAATGGAATGTTGCCGAAGCCAGCCAGGGATCTGTGGGTATGTGGGATGTGCACTTCCGCATTGGCGGCTCCGCGGGCACGGAACTGCAAAGCGACAAGTGCTCCAAGACGCCCAAGATGACCACAACCCCCAACCCGGAGTGCATCGGCGCGTTCCTGCTGCTGCACATCACCGAGCAGGCCAGCGCCTACATCGAGAACGCTTGGTTCTGGACGGCGGACCATGAGCTCGATCTGGCGGACCACAACCAGATCAACGTCTACACCGGCCGTGGCGTCCTGGTTGAGAGCAATGGACCCGTCTGGTTGTATGGCACGGCCTCGGAACACCACCAGCTGTACAACTACCAGGTCGCAAACGCGCAGAACGTGTTCATGGCCTTGATCCAGAGCGAGACGCCATACTACCAGTCCAACCCCGACGCACTGACACCCTTCACGCCCCAGACCACATGGAACGATCCCACCTTCTCCCACTGCACGACCGCCTCGTGCCGCAAGGCCTGGGGTCTGCGCGTGATGAACACCTCGGATCTGTTCGTGTACGGGGCGGGTCTGTACAGCTTCTTCGAGAACTACGGCCAGACATGCTTGGACACCGAGTCGTGCCAAGAAAACATGGTGGAGGTTGACTGCTCGAATGTCCATCTGTACGGACTGAGCACCAAGGCCAGCGTCAACATGATCACCTCGTCTACCGGCGCGGGTATTGTGCCGCAGGACGAGAATGAGAGTAACTTTTGCTCTACTATTGCTCTCTTTGAACAATCGTGATCATTTTTGTTGACTGTTGCGTGCGCTGATGATGGTCATGGCTCTCTTTTTCTTGTTCTTTGTTTTCGTGGGTTTATTTCACAGGACGCCCGGATGTTTCTTGCTCTGGCGAGCCTGGGTTGCAGGTATCTAGAGGCCAGTGGTGGTTGCAGATAGATATGACATGTGGATACACCTTAGACAAATACAATGATTCCCAATATTAGCAATTGACTGACTCCAACCCGTACAAATATCCCATAATAGCAATAGCAAATGTAGATTCAGGTGTAGAGATTATAGCTCCTTCTTCAAGAAATGCTCCGGCTTGTGAGTGGTCTCATAGTCGACATGGACATAGGCCCGCTCCACATCGGGCAACGACTCGAGCTTTATCTGCAGCTCCTCGGCGACATCGTGGGTCGCACGCAGGGACTCCTCGGGATCCATGACGATGTCGACTTCGACGAGCAGCCGGGGGCCGGAGGTATATGCGCGGACGGTATCGATGGCGGTGATGTAGGGGGAATGAGTCATAGCTGATAGCCAATTAGCCTTTTTTTCAATCATTTAGTAATGGAAGCGATAACATACAGATATAAGTGATGAGCTGTTGCATCTTCGTATCGGCAGTGACGCCGATGAGCAGCTGGAACTCATGGTAGGCGGTATGCAGCCAGAGGACGCTGATAAGCACAGACAGGATAATGGCGCCCATGGGATCGATCCACCAGCGGAGTTTACTGCCGCCGACGGAGGTGAGGATACCGAAGCCGTTGATGAGGAGGTCGTTGCGGTGGTCTTCCCAGAGGATTCTGATCTGGGAGACCTGGTTGCGGAGGGCCCAACAATATAAAAAGAGGGCGAGTTTGGTGCAGAAGGCGACGACGACGGCGATGACGGAGGGGAGGAAGAAGGAGCCCGTAGCGGCGTCGGAGCCCTCCACCAGCTCGCGGATGGAGAAGGCGATGAGGATGAAGGAGACGGCTGTCATGAGGAAGCAGAAGCAGATGTTGCCTGCTGTTTCGATGCGGGCTTTGCCGGCGGGGAACTTGCGGGGGTCGACGCGGTTGACGGCCTTGTTGCAGAGGAGGAGGGTGAGGTTGGAGCAGGGGTCGAAGATGGCGTCGGCCATGGTGGTGAAGAGGGAGAGGGAGCCGGAGGAGATGGCGCCGTAGAGCTGGAGGACGGAGAGGACGACGTTGGCGGCGAAGGAGCCGTAGACGGCGATGCGGTAGCGGAGGGCGTTGTTGCTGTTGAGTTCGCGCGCGGCGCGGACGTGTTCCTCGACGGGTTTGAGCATGCGCTCGATGTTCTCGTTTTGCGTCTTGTAGAAGCCTTGCAGTTGGCGCGAGGCCAGGGTGACGGAGATGGCGTTGCGGCTGCGGAGTTTGATTCCTGGTGCTGCGGCTGAAGAGACATCGCGTTTGCGCGAGGTGTTGGCTACTGGTTGGATCTGGCGGATCTCCTCGGCGGTTTTCAGCTTCGAGGCGAGCTGGAAGGGATCGTTTTCCGGCGTGTACCGGGGCGGCGGCTGTCCTTCTTCATCGCTGCTTGGGTTCGTGCGGTGCTGAGAGACGTGTGGTGATGTTTGGTCAGAGGGATCGAGTGCTGTGCTGGTGGCTGCGTTCAAGGACAAGGCTGATGAGGCTCGGTCTCGGGGGATGTGCGAGTGTAGGGTGTGTGGGTTGAAGGGTGAAGGGTGGTGAGAGATGCTGTGTCGAAAGTGGCTGTCCTCCATAGTGAAGTAGTTGATTATACGGAGTAAATCAACTTATGATGGATGTCGAGAAGACGGGGGGGGATGCATGGGTTTTGATCGTTGAGGGCAGGAAAAGTGAGAGGTTATCCGGGTTTCCCCAAACGGAAAACCCCCGTCTTGGCAGTGGCTGAGCTATCTTATCTGATCAACGGATGTGTAAGAAATGACCAACACTACTTATGCATTACACCTATTCCTCTAGTGCAACAGCCTTATGCAGACAGGCAATTCTATTTCTATCACTAGTTACACACACTTCGCCCTCCAGATGGTACATCAGTTTCTTCGTCCCTAAGCAATATACTGCAGCAGAGACTTCAGAACAGAAGCAACGTAGCTAAGCTGCTCCTCAGCAGTGCCGCTGGTGGGGAAAGACGTGGACGAACTAGCGCCATTACCGGTGCCAGCGGCCGCGGTGGCAGTCGGTTTCACGCTGGTGACCATAGTAGTAGGCGTGGAGACAACGTTGTTTCCGGTGCTGGGAGTGGTGACAGCAACGCTGGGAGTAGTGGTTGCAGCCGAAGAGCCAGAGCTGGAGCCAGAGCTAGAGCCGGAGCTGGAGCCGGAGCTGGAGCCGGAGCTGGAGCCGGAGCTGGAAGAGCCGGAGCCGCCAACAGTGAAGTCAATGCAGGACTCGTAGGTCTGGTCAATCGACTCGGCAAACCAGTACCACTGGATGACACAAGCACCGGCCTCGGAGCACTTGCTGCCAAGGTTGTCGGGGATGGTGATGCTGAAGTTGGTCTCGTCCTGGGAGACACCGGTGGCGGTCGAGGCGTAGTCGGTCCAGGACTTGAGAGTATTGCCAATCACAGTGTTGGTAGCGGTGTCGACGATGGAGACGTTGGCCACACCGGTGTGAGGGGCACGGATGTCAACCACGAAGTCGACGGTCTGGCCGGCGGTGTACGAGTAGACGTTGTCCTTGTTGTCTTCGAACTTGTAACCCTTGCAGAGCCAGATGTCACACTCCCCGGCGTTGTAGTCGCTCTGGCTCTTGGCGACCTGAAGCTCACCCTGGATGTTGCCGTAGTTGTCGGACTGCTGGTTGATCTCCACCTGGTTACCGCACGCAGCCTTCATGGCCGCACCGGGCATACGAGGCTTGGGGGAGGAGACAAAACCGTGGCCGTGGACCATGGAGACCAGGCCGGCGAGGGCAACAAGGGTTCCGGTTTGCTTCATTGTGTGGGTTGTGGGGTGGTTGAGAGTTGAAATGTGGAAAGTATGAGGTTCAGCGAATGGAACAGGTATACCAGTATACCGAACGTGGATCGATCAAGGAGAGTCTTAGACTGAAGCGAAAGGAAGAGAAAGAATGAACGGTCACAGACCTAACAATCTCAGATGAAAGAATGTGGAATGAAGCAAGCCTGCGTGCTGAGAGAGAGGGAAAAGCAGAGAGCAAGGCAGCCCGACCAACTCTATATACAACGAGCGACAGGACCAGCTCCAGCAGTGACGTCCATTCTGAGACACGGCTCTAGACTCAAACAGGGATTCAGGGACAGACTTCATCCCGAAATTTCACAGTTGCGCCGGCTTACTCCACCGGAAAAGGGCGTTTGTGATCTGTGTCGGTCTGGGAGCTGGACATAGCTCAGGGTTGGCACTAGCTTAGTCGTTAGCTGTCTCCTGAGCTGCTAAAAACGAGTCAGAGGGCATCGGAACGCAACCGACCGACTCACTGCGCATGGAAAACGTCTAAACAGGCCGAAGCGCCGAAGTGGTTTTGGATAAATTGGCATGAAACAAATGGAGACGGCGGTGGATTTGCTTAAGAGCAGCTCCGGCATGCTTGGCACTCTGCGAGTTTCATCTTCATTAACACCACAGCCCCATGACAGAAAAACTTCATATCGTGCGACGTCTAGCCTTCAAATGGCGAATCGGCCTGCTTCCCTGGGCAAAATATTGAGCCAGAGTTTGTCCTGCTGTAATATCCGTGGGAGGTTCATGAGTCGTAGCATCGTAAACATCAATCTATATGCTTGACGCCTTTCACATGTGCTCATAACGACGACCCACTGGATAACTATGAAGTCCCCACAATTCTGATGATTTTATGTTCAAATTCCTCAATCCTCAATCAATCAATCAATCCACGAATTATATCACACGCAAAAGGGGGAGGAAGTAATGCCGCGAGTAATCAAAACGCAGGGGGGGAATATCCAATGCTCATGATCCGCAAAAGTGGTATCGCATCAATTATATCCATCATAATAAAAGCGGCTAGATTGCACCGGGAGAAAAACAAAGTGGCTCAAGGACGCCCAATCGCCTGAAATAGCCATTACTTGAAACAAGTCAACCGGAAATGGCCGAGCTTGAAGTAAATCACCATGATCTCAAAGCGGGTGCTGCGTAGGACGTTGATATGATCCTGCCTGCTGTTGGTTCTGTGTGGCACCCAGATTGTTGTTGTTGGTTGTGCTGTAGTCATCCGCAAATGGATTCTGTACCTGGAAATCCTCCGACCGGTACTCATACCGAGCCGCGTTATTACTCCCCGGCGCTGCCGTCGGAGTCGCCGCTGACAAAGGAGCCACCGTTGCAGTGCTCTGCTGCTGCTGCTGCTGCAGCAGTGGTGGTGAGAAGACCGAGGGCGAGGCGCTTTGCTCTTCTCGCTGCGGTACTGGGGGCGCAGGGAGTGGACGATTGATCCCAGTCTCAGTGGCTCCGTTCGACGGAACGGGTGACTGGCTCCCCGAGTTGCCGGTTGCTTTGCGGGCGCTAAGGAACGCATGCTGGTACTTAGACAAAGCGACCGACAGCTCGTCATTCGTCTCGATCAAGGTCTGAAGCGTGTTCTCGTCGGGTGCCGGATTCGTCGAATGTATATAGTTCTGAATGGCGCGAGATGCTGTCTGGCAACGAGTACAGAATTCCTTGATAAGCTCGTTTCCGTTGAACTCTGTGGGCGGCGTCGACTGAACGAACTGCAGGAGTAACTTGGCCGACGTTTTGGCTTCCGTCACGCGAGCAGCGAGCTCATCTGGCGGTGGTAATGTCGAGGCAGGCCGGGCAGAGTTCTGCATGTATGGGTATGCCTGCTGCTGCTGATGTTGCTGCGACCGTGAGGATCTCCAGGTGCTCTGCCCAAACCGCGAACTGTTAGCAATGTATTTCACTACTTCAACATGGTTTGACAAGCGTACCCCACTGTTCTGCCTGCTCAGCTTACTCTTCTCCTTCTTCCACATTTGCATCAGCGGCGCTAGGTCCTCGTCCCACTGTCGCTGCGACTCGATGGCGCCTAGCGTTTCCCGCAGGAAGTGCTGCACATTGAGGTCCCACCCATCACGCAGGAGATCCTTTATCGTAGCGACGAACTTGGCATCGATGTTGCGTGTAAACGTGTGGCCCGGATTGTCGATGAGTATGCGCATTAGCATAATCGCATTGTATTGGATGTGAGCTGGAGTCGAGGCGGGATCGGACAGGTATTTGCGAAGCCGCTGGGCAGCCTCTCTGGCGGCATTGGGGCTGGACTCTGCGCTTTCGACTATGGCGGGCAGGTGAACGAATTCATTTCCTTGCTATGCGACCAGAATATTAGCGATGTTATGCAATGACGGCGCAGTTGGTGAGCCAAGTGCCAACGTACTCGGTCGTCTTGCTGTCCCCCGCTCTCGCAGAAATCTTTCTATAAACCCCAGTCGTCGCATTAGTGATTATTCGATATTTGACGTCATTCAACGATATTTCCGACGGTCGCACGTACCACTGCTTTCAGGATCGTTCCCTCGGGCGAGTCATCCGGGTACTCCGAAGGGCTGTTGAGCGACGGGCCTATTTCTAATGAGCGTCCCGGGGTAAACAAGGGTCCATAGAAGGGGCCGATGAGACTCACTCGAACGCTTGCTGAGAGAGCCAAATATGCGCTTCATTATATAGAACACGTGAAAACGGGATATACAACAAGGACTCCTCGCAGACTATTGTGGTAAGACAACAGGAGAGGGTGAGTAGACAGATCGCCTAGATAAACACCAGCGCAGCTGACAACCCCAACTAGGTACAAAAGTAGCTTAAGTACGGGGAAGTTTAGGCAGTACCTCTCCACGGAAGGCTGACACACAAAATCCCCGCGCTGTGCCTGGAGCATAATCAGAACCATAACCATAATTATAACCACGAGCCACAAACCATAGTCTGAAATATATGGTTAAGTAGGCCCGTGACAGTGGCAATGTTCGTCGAGGACACGCAAGCCAGCTTTCTGTTATCTGGATGATGAGTATTCAATATCGTCCTTGGTCCATCGGTCGCAAGGCAGTTATTCTTCCACACTGTCGTCTGAGCAGGTGATGCAAGCGATTACACTTGATACGTATGCATATCGGAATTAAGAGTCTTACTCCATCAGCACGCGACGAGTTATTTGTTGAACCACTTTTAAGTCCCGCATTGAATGCTATGGTCTGGTTGGAAAAGCCAAGCAGAGCAGCACCGCCACCCTTGGCTTCTCAAGGCATCAACAATATGTTGCAGAAGCTGACGAATGTCGCCTTTCTTTGGTCAAGCACTATGGCTGGTGGTACGTTTTGAGTTCACCTTTATGTTTAGCCTTTGGACTACAAGAGATAAGCGAAAGTTTCATGTTGTTACACTGTAGAGTCTAATGGTCTGGATCCGAGTAGTCTCGAAACATCAAGGAAAGGTTTGGTAGGTATCAAGGAAAAGATGAATCCGTATCCCGTTCATGAAATAACGCTCGACATTATCTCGAAATATATGAGAGGAAGGCCCGGGTTGGTTGTACCAAGACAAGAAACCGATCATCAACCGACTGCCGGACGAGAACCTCAGTTACTCAATCCCAGCCTCGAAACGTCGGACAGAGACAGAACCAAAAAAAAAAGGATCAGACCTGTCAAAGATCAATGCTGATGGACCCTCCACGAGATGCCCCCCAGTCTATGTCTTTTGTCTCATGCTCATCGCCCGTTTGGTTTCGAATTTTTTCGTTTTATTCAGAAGATAGAATAATGGAAATTCTTTTGCATTCCTTTCCGTGACCAGGTATTTGTTCCGTACAACAGCAAACTCCGGCTTCCCATTCATTTTCCGACTACCCTAACCCCCCGACATCTACAGCCCGCTTATGCCTCGGTGAGGGCACGGCGGATCTGAGTACCACGCTGGCGGGAGCTGAGGTGGACACCCTCCTTCTTGACGACCTGGGAAGCCTTCTGGACGGTCTCCTCACCCTCGGTAAGGATGAGCTCGATGTGGCAGGGGTTGGTCATGTAGGGGTTGATCTAGATGCCGAGTTAGTCTCTTAGTTGATTTCCAGCGGTGCAACTTAGGTCAACGTACACGACCGTGAGCACGGTAGGTGCGTCTCCGGCCCTTGGGAGCCTGGTTGACCTGGATGTGCTTGACAATGAGGTTGCCGGTGTCGAGACCCTTGGTGTCGGCGTTGGCCTCAGCGTTCTTCAGGAGGTCGAGGAGGAACTGAGCGGACTTGACGGGCCAGCGAGCCTTGCTGACACCCCACTGCTTGCCTGTAATATAGTCAGCATTTGATTCCAATATGTTCCCCCAATGGTCTTCAATCCGTGTTCCATGCACGAAACATTCCCGCCACCTCTATTGCGAAAACCACAAGACTGTCCCATATACCTCCACCAATATCTCCAATTCAAGGGATAAGAAATTGTCGTAACTCACCCTGAGCAGTGCGACCAATGCTGCCAGCGTACCGGCGGAAGGGAACGACCTCGGTCTTGGTCTTGACGTTCTCGAGGAAGGTAAGGGCGCGCTGCAGCTTCATGCCGTTGATGGCCTGAGCGGTCTCACGGGTGTTCTTGAAGCTGACACGCAGGTAAGAGCCCCGGGCGCGGGCGCTCTTTGCGGCCGGAATATCCTGAGCAGCGTAACGGACCTGATGCAAACAAAGACCCAACATCAGCAAAAACCATGTCCTATTCCCAATTCCTTCACGACGCTTAAAATGGAGCGGAAACGATGGCGTCGGTATGGTTCGAATAGTCGATATTTCTTCTTTCGTGAACAGGCCACAGCCAGAAACGACACAGGTAGAAGTCGAACATCGCCGGTGCAGCGGGAAACGTCCTCAGAGCGTATTTCCTCAACTCTTGCCGTCTACCATTTTTCCTCCTTTTCGATCCATTCCTTCGCCATCGTTTCCGTCGTCTTGAATAATGTCAAAAACACTCACCATCTTGATGCGGTTGCCGAGCGGGGTGGTCCTCGATGTCGGATGAGAAGTTTTGTCGCTTTGCTTTGGTCGGCCGCTGGAATCTTGAGATCGCGAAGCTCGCTCGTTGTAGTGCGCTTTTTCGCTCTTGGCGCCCGCACGCCCTAAGCGAGCCCTAACACTAGACCCAGTTCGGTAGTCAACTCACTCACCGCCCGGCAGATAAGAACATCAAAGTTAACTTCACTTGCCTCTCACTCATTCAATGTTATTATGGTTATTGGTAGGGAAATGGTCGTCTATTAAATGTGCATTGCTCTATCTAGAAGAAAATAAGATCTATTGGATCATCAGTTACTTTCAATTCTGTCCCTTGAAGATATCCTTCTGCTCTGGCACCAATGTGATCATCTCGCCCTTCTCCACCGCCGAGCGCAAGTTGTTCAAGACCAACAGCTCCATTTCCTTCTGGGTCTCATAGGTCGCGGTTCCAATATGCGGTAGCAGCATCACGCGGGGGTTATTTACAAGCCCGGGTTCGATCTCTGGCTCGTTCTCATACACGTCCAGACCAGCCGACATGACCTGTCGCATTACGTTACTATCCATAACATAGGAAGGAGGGTAGGATGGAGCTTACCTTGCCCGAGTCCAAAGCGGCGACCAGAGCCTTTTCGTCGATCAAAGCACCACGAGCCGTGTTCACAATGACCACACCATCTTTCATCTTCTGGAACTCCTTCTCGCCAATGATATGGCGAGTCTTCGCATTGAGAGCGAGGTTCAAGCTGAGAACATCCGCAATCGCCAGCAGCTCATCAAACGAGACATACTGCGCTTCCCCCTCAAGCTCTGGTGAGAGTCTCGATCTGTTGTGGTATTGTATCTTCATTCCGAAAGCTCGTGCGCGATTGGCCATTTCCTATCGCAAGGCAATCAGCTGCCGGATCCTGTGACTTGAACGTACACTGCTTACCCTTCCGATTCCTCCCATCCCGAGAATACCAAGCACCTTGCCCTGAGGGTCATGCCCGAGCGTAGTGTTTCCCTGCCATTGGCCTATGGACGTTGTCAATTTCTCGAGTTTCGTGGAATTGAACGGCGAATTACTAACCGGCGCGGAGAGCAGATAACGGCACATAAGCCTGGCGCAAAGCGCCAATCATCAGGAAGATGCCTACATCGGCAGTTGCGTGGTTCACGGCGACTGGAGTACTGGAGACAGCAATTCCTGTAGTTTATCAGCTTTTCTGAATCTGTATCGAAGAGTCATAGATGATCGCACCCTTCTCTGAACAGGCCGGGATGTCAATGTTGTCGTAGCCAGCTCCATTGTGGCAGATATACTTTAATGACTTGGGAAGGACGGAGAGCAACTCTGCGTCGAATGGACCGGTGAACTGAACTCAATCAGCAACTAGACCTTTATCGCCGCGTTCCACTGCCACGCTTACCTTGGTAGACGTATTGGATCGGTAAATCACTACCACATCATCGTACTGGCCGTCTTTGCAGTTCCGGATGAACTCGTCTCTGGTGCCCTCGGGGAATTCCTTCAAACGCTACATTAGAGACGACACTCCACCGGACTACAATCGCGAGCTCACCTTTAGAGTCAGAATGGACGAGAGATCCTCCCACTCCTTTCTAGCGTGGGTGATGGCACCGATGAGTAGAGCTGAAGGCATGATGTCAGAGTTGGAGAGCGGGGTGAGAGCTCTTATCGCGGTGTAAGAAGACTTCGATGTTCAAGAACAGAGCGCAGGGAGAGACAGAGCAATTAGAATGAGAAGGAAGAAGAATAGGAGATATCAAGGAGATAATTGAAAGGATTCACCTGACTAGTATCTGGATCCTGATCATGTTTATTCGATATTGTTTGTCGACTTGATCTTGCTCATCATTTCCCGGAGTTCCTCCATATTGCGTGGGGGTTTACCAGTATTACAGTATGGTATTACACTTGATACCTCAATACATTAGTACCAAATACGATACACCGAGACAACAACCTTGTGCAAGATGCAGAAGAAGCGAGGAATGATGCTGGCTAACATGCAGATAGAGTGAACAGACTGAGGTAACTATCTGTAAGCTGCTGAATATAGAAGAATCGTCTTTGAATTCACACACTCCCGCCTGCGTTGTTCTTAAATACACCATGTATGTTGGTAATATTGACTGTCGGCTATTGAAAAGAGGTTCAATTCCCGCTGCGGAGCAAATCCGGGTATGACCCCACGTTGTTCAATGGCCGACGAGGGGAAGAGAAGATGAAGGAATGACCGATGATGCTTCGGAATCATCATGATAATTCTTCTGCAATGAGAATAAAAGCTTTTCTCTTCCAAGGTACCCCTTGATCTCCTCGACAAGGACATTTCAACAAGCACCATGGCCACCACAACCACCACGACAGCACTCGTCCTCCACGGAGCCAAAGATCTCCGCCTGGTACGTAACAATCTAAAGGTACAATCACAGCTCGATAATAACAGCATCAGGAATCACGGCCCATTTCCCCTCCCACCGGTTCCGAAGTCCAGGTCGCCATCCGCGCAACCGGTCTCTGCGGCTCAGATCTCCACTACTACAACCACGGCCGCAATGGCGACTTCGTCGTGCGCGAGCCCATGTGCCTTGGCCACGAATCCTCCGGCACCGTCACAGCCGTCGGACCAGAGGTCACAACCCTGCAGGTCGGCGACCGCGTCGCCCTCGAAGTCGGCCTCCCCTGCCGCACCTGCACCCTCTGCCGCACCGGCCGCTACAACATCTGCCCCGACATGAAGTTCCGCAGCAGCGCCAAGCTCTTCCCCCATCTCGACGGCACCCTCATGGAACTCACCAACCACCCCGCCGACCTCTGCCACAAGCTTCCTGATAGCGTCTCCTACGCCGGCGGCGCCCTCGTCGAGCCCCTCGCCGTCTGCCTGCACGCTATCCGCCGCTCGCACCCGCCCACACTCGCCGAAGTGGAACTGGCCACGGAACAAGGCGACCAGACGGCCGCACTGATCTTCGGCGCAGGAGCCATCGGCCTCCTCCTCGCAGCCGCGCTAGCCACCTCCCAGCCCTTCACCTCCATCGTGGTCGCGGACATCGACCCCGCACGTCTCGAGATCGCAAACTCCCTCAACCTAGGTCTGAAGACCCATCTCCTCCCCAAGGGCGGCGATGCCGCCAACCCGCCGCCTGCGCCGGACGCCCCGGCCGCAGAGCACACCGCGTACGCGATGCAGAACGCGCAGCGGACCGCGGCGGCGCTGAAAGAAGCGAATGGGGTTCCGTCGGGGTTTGTGCGCGTGTACGAGTGTACAGGGGTGCCGGCGTGCGTGCAGGCGGGGATCTACGCTGCCAGCCCTGGCGCTGTCCTGGTGCAGATCGGGATGGGGAATCCCATCCAGACGCTCCCGGTGAGCGCGGCGGCGCTCCGGGAGGTGGATATTATCGGCACGTTCCGGTATGATGGCCATGCGTACCCGGCTGCGATTGAGTTGATGGCTAGTGGGAAGCTTGACCATGTGGAGAAGCAGGTTGTTACCCATCGGGTTAAACTCGAGGATGGGAGTCGGGCGTTTGCTCTGGCGGGAAAGGGAGTAGATGAGACGGGCAGGCCGGTGGTCAAGGTTGTCATTGAGAGCTAGATTGGTTTTGATTTGTTTGTGTACGTCTGCAATGTATACCCTGTTTGTAAATGATGACTCGATATTGGTGGACCAAGGAGCAAGCGTACCCTACGCGCTACATGTGGTGTACAGAAGATTATGACATGTACTTACGTGATGTATTTCCCGATATATAAAAAGTATTCAAAAGTGCATCTACTTTAAACCACCCGCCAGCAGCAAACTCTGGCCAGTCATATATCCCGTCGTTACGAGCATGCTCACAACATTAGCCACTTCCTCAGGGGTACCCAGTCGACCAAGCGGAATTCCCGCTGCAACATCAGGGATGGCTTGAGCGCTGGGAATCATGCCAGTGTCGCCGATCATGGCCGGCGCCACGTCATTGACGCTGATATTATATTCAGCCAGACGGGTCGCGAGATTCTTCATCATGCCTGTCATCCCACCTTTCGACGCAGCATAATCTATGGATAAGGGTCAGTTATCGGGGTTCAGGTCTAGGTCGAAGGGCTTGGACATTGGACTTACGACATCCGTTGATTCCACCGCCGTACCCAGCAATCGACGACATAAAGACGATCCGACCCCAGCGCTGCTCCCTCATGTGGTCGACAACCCCCTTCACGAGGATAAAGGAGGCCCGCAGATTCACGTTGATGGTATAGTCGAATTCTTCCAGTGAGATATCCCAGACCTGTGGGATGCGCTTGCCGTAGCCTGCGTTGGAGACAAGAATGTCCGGTCGCTGCCCGTGCTCCTTGTCAATCTGCTCGAACATGGTCTGGATCTGCTCTGCAGATGCAACGTCAACCTGGTGGATTGAGATGCGAAGTGCATCGGCGCCATCTGCGGCCGGTTGGCTAGATTTAAGCTCTTTTACAAGGGCCTTCATTGCGTCGAGGTTGGTAGAGTACGTCAAGGCGAGGTGGACTCCCTTCTGGGCCAGCTGACGAGCACATGCTGCTCCAATCCTAGCGAAAGTGTCAGCACCAGAACAGCTACAAGTAGATAGGAAGATGCTCACCCTCCAGATGCCCCTGTGATGAGGGCCAATCGGCCACGTACCTCATTCAACTGCGCCATTGGTAAATAGTATTACAGTAACAATATGATCTGCACCGTTGAGAACGAGAGTCACACTATAGAACAACCCCTTGATACTCGGGGGAGATGATGATGATCAATGCATCGCCCCTCGGGTATCCGCTTGGCAGCTGTTTGCTCCCTCGGAGCAAACCCCGAGGGTGCGCGTATCGTTGCCCCGCGGCCCCGCATCAACAGTGTGGGGGTAACAATGTCTCGGAGGTGAGCTGGAATCACACGGAAAAGGATTTGCACTAGGCAACCCACGCCAAAACCTTAAGACTGCGTCTGCTGCTCTCAAGTCTGGACCGGTACGAAGTATGCGATGTGATGAGTAACGCACTCCCGAAGCATGCTTTCAAAACAAAAGGTTGCCCGCCATGTCACCGACCCAGGGTGACATCTGCCACGGCTGAGAACGGTCCTGCCCTGATTGATACAAATCAGGCCCCTGTTGGAATGCATCAAACGCTAGAGTACCCGTTCCTGGCATTTGATCTCCAGACACAAAGTCTCCGACTGCTTCAAGATCCAGCCAAGAAAAGTCATTCGCAGGACTGAAATGCACATGATGACTCTGCTCCGGCAGGCGATTGAGGGTATTCTGCATCAAGAGATCGCTGCTTCGGTGGGTTGCCGTAGGGGAGAGAGCAGGCGCAGGTTTGGACTGCCACAAGAGCTCCAACAGCCGTGCATATCGAGCCCCAATGTCATCTGGCCCGGCACTTGCTCGCTTCAGGACTTCGGTGCTGCGAGTGACCAGTTCTCGCACCTTCATCTCCTCCGAGTTCAGCATCACACCGAAGGAACGCGCCTGCCAAGGGTCAGTTCATACTCGGATCGTTTGGACGACCATCCCACCTTATATAAGAAGACCGCTGCATAGATTCCATACAGGTAAAATCTCAGAGGCATAAAATGCAAGTGCTTTTCCGGATGCACTTCATCAACAAGGATAGTCAGGTACGCCTTCGCAGCATCGACAGACTCGTAGATGAAGCGCGCATCCTGCATTGATGCCACATTGTTGAAAGTCGCGCGCAAATGCTCCCTTTGCGACTGATTGTTGTTTGTATGCTTGGAGACGAGTGACTGGGAGATGGCAGCTTGGAATGCAAATGCATTCGTATAGAGCCTCAGATACTCGTACGACAACTGCAACGTGGCTCGCATCGGTGTGGAACCTGCAAATGCGTAAGTGACTGACAGCGCAAGCATATGGGGTCAAAAAGGCCATACAGGGAAGCGAGCCCCAGCGGGACTTCCAACGGAGAATAGCAAGGCGGAAATCGTCCACGTATTTCACGTAGTCGCCCATGAGCATCATTTGATTGCTGGTCCGCATTCCGGAGTAGAGTACATCGTGAACGTTGTTATAGAGTTGTGTAAGATCCAGTGTCGCTTGGAAGATCTTTGCATAATCTTCTTCGTCGCTTTTGACCGGTTGTAGAGACGGAAAATCCTGGCTGACGAGTCCCGTCATTGGTCCAGGACCTCGCGACCAGAAAGCACGCCCGATACGGACGGAAATCAGCCGGTCGGAGATGTAGCAGCAGGTCCACGCCAGTCGTCTGCGGGCTTCTGTTTCCGTATCTCCCGATGCATCACCCCGAAAAGACGTGCGGTCCAATCCGAGGAAGTAGCCCGATCGCAAAGCAAGCCCGACATGCATCCAGGCGGCTCGGTCCTCCTCGCCACGCCCAACTCGCTCGATCCGCGGCCGAAGACCCTGAGGTTCCCACTCGGCGAGGAGGAGTAGCGCCTCGACCGCCTCCACATCACAATCGGCACCAGCAGCAATGCCAGAGATGAGCTCATGCATGTACTTGGAGCAATATTCGTGAATCTCCGGCCGTTCGACCAGGTCTTTGGAGGCGATGGTCAGCACCGCGGTCAACAAGTGTTTCTCATTAGTAGCGAAAGCGTCGAGCGCGTTGCGATCAAAGTATTTTCGCGGCACCAAGGGAAGATAGGGATGAAAATTCTCGGCATAACGAGCAACAAGCTGCCACACTGTTCCTGTGTCCAGCGACCTCGTCTGTACCAGCCTGTAGGCTCTGATGCCACTGGTCGGATGGAAATCTGTAGCTGCGCCATTCTGAAATGCCGAGAATGATGGGAAACCGTTTGGACCAGGGCGCGCAGATTCGGTGTGGGTTTCCGAACTAAAGTCCTCGGCGCCTCTTTTCGCTATGCCTGTCAGGCATTGCCAGGCATCTGACGGATTTCGCGGTACAGAACCGATGGAAGCCGAATCTTCGTCGTCCTCTGAAACAGCAACTGCCGCTGGAGGGTTCGGCTCCACAAAGACAACCGGGTTGGAGTATGAAGCAGATGCATTCGGACGGCTGTCTGTGGTGGACGGGCTGGTTGTGTCCATCAGTGGTTCTATTCTCGTGGACAAGTCAGTGCCGGGGGTGAAATTTTTCATCTTGTTTTTGCGAATACGGCGGCCCCCTCGGTTTGAACCTCCAAGGACACATTCGCGGCTGTCTCGAATACACCGCTGACATGGTGGTACCCCGGGACTGCCACTGCTGTCCCTGTTCACTTGTTAGCGAATTGCAACAGAGGACGATAACAGGTAAAAGACCCTGTTCGAAAATGTCATGCGAATGCTGGAAACATACAAATCGCACTTGGATTTACGCTGTCGGCAGTGCAAACAGGCTCTTGATACGCGCTTCGCTGAAGAGTCGGAGCGAGATTTACGCCTCGGCCCTGAGGTGTCTGCCAGTTGCGGAGACTGTTCGTCCCTTTCCATTGCTGCTCAAAGGTCACAGTTTCAGCTCAGAAAGTGAAAACTCGGTAGCAGTAGCACATGAGCCTCATTTTCTCATCATTGACGTGGTGCTGGCGAGGCTGGGCATTCGAACGCGTCCATTAGTGAGATAAATGCGGTTCAATGGACTGGTTCGAGATGATGAAAGAGACGTCGTCCTTGGACCCGAGCGTGATGTACCTTCAAACTGCCGACAGACAAATACACGTTGGATGAAAATGCGGCACAGGTTGATGTTTCCAGGACGCAGGTCAACGGCCCATATTATCCTGGAAGGTCTGGCCGTCAAGGCACGAGCGCCTTGACCCACAATATGGGATTTAGACTTCAATAACTTTGATGAGAGCAACAGGAGCAGATTCCCTGCATCCTTTGAGCACTTATTCGCGAATGATGTTGATATATTTGAAGGGCGAAATGAAATCTGGGGAAGATGATTCGTGGTCCCTATACGGTACAGGTTGGCGAGCGGCAACTTCATTACCAAGGTTGTGAACCTAAGTTTGGGGGTCGTTGTATGAAAGGGTAATACGAGATCCAGGTATCTACCTACCTGTACCTTAGGGACCGTCTCCGACTCCATGACCTCTGGCAACGACACATCCATGATATAGCGGTTTGGGGATTGTCAGACATCACCGAACAGACTCGTGAAGGCATCAGAAGTCTTATGTCTATAGTGACCCTAGCAGATATCTACCTAGGAGACGTTCACTGAGAATTTGTTGCGGAGATTGACTGCTTCGTCCTTTCTCCACGGTTGAGGCTCAGTATTCGCCAAAGTATATTGTGGCATTCAATGCCTTTTCTACTGATCTCGCCCACACCTCACATACGTGAGACATATTGAGACCTCCTCTTTTTGAGACTTCATCGAAGCAGTGCAAAGTGACTTGGTTCCATTGTTGGAAGCCCATTACAGCCCCGGATTCAGGTAATGTCATCTTACGGTAACAATACAAGCCACGTGCTCCGTATCTAGCTGTTCAGGGCAGGTTCAATAGCCGACGGAGGACCAGCAGCGACTGACGGCAACGGCTATATCCTTTTCGGGCAACAGGTGGGATGGCCCCCCGCATGTGGGGGGCAGGAATGAGCAAGCAGCAGGTTGATATTTATGGACATGGAGCGTCATCAGGTTGCGATGGTGAAGTCTCTGAAGAATCTTTTTCTGAAATAAGCGATTGCTGTCGTTGACCATATTTCTTAGGACCTTTGTCCAACCAGTCTTCATAGGTGCATTGACAATAAAAGAATATATCGTTGCTTCGATCTCTGGCGTCTCATCAACATCGATTTACAAAAACTGGAAACTTCAATCTACCCAGGTCTCTTACATTAAACCAACACAATTATCAGAATGTCGGCAACTGTTCCTTCATTATTTTCTCTGAGCGGAAAGACCGCAATTGTGACGGGTGGGACGAGGGGTATCGGTCAGGCTATGGCTATTGCCCTTGCTGAAGCTGGTGCGGATATTGTACTGATCCAGGTACGAGCACTAGCCTTAACTTTGCTTTTAGCTCGGCGAGGGCTGCACTACATGTGGCAGGGAGTAACTGATCGGTATCATGTAGAGAGACGAATCAAACACACAAACCCGCGATGAAATTGTCAACCGAGTCGGTCGAAAAGCTTGGATTCATGTGGCAGAGTTGTCGAAACGAGAAGAAGTCAAGAATATCATTCCAGCAGTCACAAGTCAAGGACTGAAGCCCGAGATTCTCCTCAACTGCGCTGGCATTCAAAGGAGACACCCTAGTGAGAAGTTTCCTGACGAGGATTGGGACGAGGTGTGTCAGACCTTTCCCCTTGGTTCTTGGTCTTTTTCAAAAGCTGATTGCGTCTACGAATTCTCTTAGGTTATTGAAGTAAACCTGACCTCTGTGTTTACACTATGCCGTGAATTTGGAGCCTATCTATTGGCTCGGGATGCGTCTGAATTTCCTTCCGGCCGCCGTGGTTCCATCATCAACGTTGCATCGCTTCTTTCTTTCCAGGGTGGCATCACCGTTCCGGCATATGCAGCCTCGAAAGGCGGCATTGCGCAATTAACCAAGGCCCTGTCTAACGAGTGGGCCAGCAAGGGTATCAATGTGAACGCCATCGCCCCTGGGTACATTGACACGGACATGAACGTCGCCTTGATCAATGATATCAATCGGAATGCTGGCATCATGGCCAGAATCCCAGCTGGCCGATGGGGGAAGCCGGAAGATTTCAAGGGTGTTATTGTGTTCTTGGCGAGTCAAGCAAGCAACTATGTTTCAGGTGAAGTGGTCTGTGTTGACGGAGGTTGGATGGGCCGGTAAACGGTGTCGCTAGTACATACTCTTCCTGAATGTCATTGTGTTAATAATAGATAACACATGGAAATGATGGAAAGACTCGGACTACCACTCCATAGTTAGCTCACTGAGAGCTCTGAAGCTGGTCAGGTCACCTTTGCTCTAGCGTGTTATACCACACCCGACCGGCTTTTGGCCATGGCCTTGAATAGATTTAGTGTCCCATAGCCGGTGTCTGGGCGCTTCCGAGAGATTCCAAATGAAGATGCCTGCACCGAAGACTGTATCCATCGCAATTTAGCCGGGTCTGCGCCGTTGACTTGTCATATTGAAGCGGACCCGTTGTCTTGGAATCGAGACCGTTGACAGGGGACTCTCGACCTTGGCAACACTGCCCGTAGCTGGGTTATCTGGATAGACACATGATCTCTAGTCTAATAAAAAGCGATAGGGAATGACTCGAATGAGACATGCCATGAGGAATAGATTAAACTATTGCTTCTAGTGTGACACCCGTGTCTCACGTGACTCCATCAGGGAAAGACTCGGCTTTTTAGAGAGGTACTTTCTTCTGGTAAGCAAGAGGGAGTTAACTGTCTGCAGCAGCCACGCTTGTTAAGTTGTTTCATCTCGAGGGAAAAAAAGACGCTGAAGAGAATAGGCGAAGGGCTTTTCTTCCTGGTCCGAGCTCCTGTCAGCTAGCAGTCGGGAGTTACACTGGAAGACTGGAATATTATTGGGCGTGTCTCTCCTTAGCCATCAGCCAACAGTCCAATATGAGCGGAGATTTCAGTGTGGGCTCCCTGATATGAAACAGCTCTATGGCCACCCTACGACCAATCTGTTAATTATATGCTCTTCGACTTGGCGACTTATCCACTCCATGTGGCCAATTCGGCAAGTCTACTGGTGAATGACCAGAGCACACGCTGTGAATTGCTGCTGAAGAGGGGCTGGGCGCGTCCAGCTCAGCGCCTCGCCTTCTACAGATTGATTGATTGATCAATTGTATGGCCGGCGATGCGCTGTTGGTCGGACATCCTCTGCAAGGGCGCTTCTTGTGCTCATCGCCCATCAGCGACCTAAACTTCGGGGTTTCCGGATCAAAGGGAGCCCAAGTAACTCGACAATCAGGGCAGACTCGATGATTCGCCTGTTTCTTTCGAAAAAATTGGCTTGGCTTTGGATAGGAACTGCTCTCCCAAGACCACGCCATTATTTGCCTTGATATGGGGCTCACCTATCCCTTTAGTACTTGCGTTTCAGAATGACAGCTCTGGCTGCTTTCTTGCTTTGGTTTTTCTCGACTTTTTCCTTCTTTTTTTCAAATTGCCTGGTGGATCTTCTCTTGAGATCAGGGTAGTTTTTTCCCCTCGGGTTCTTTTTTTCCTTTTCTCTTGTGTTTCCTGTTGATTCAGGTCGTCTTCGTTTATTAGCATTCGATATTCACTGTTCCCGCTTCAGCTGGCTCTGATCGTCGCATCAGGAGGAGATCTGCAGTTCACTTCAACTCAATACCATTTCTATTCATTATCGAACCTCTTGGCAGGCTCTTTCTTCACTCAGAGACACCCTTTTGGTTGAGCTTCTGTTGTCTCCCTTCGTTCCTTAATTGTCGATCACTACCTGTCTCAGACTCATCGCTTTGCATCTGCAAAACTGCAAAACAAGGGTCTGCAATCTGTTGTAGAATCGACGTCACCGATCGTTGAATAGTTTATGACGCTGAGCGTCTTCTAAGTTCTGCTGAATATTACTGCGGACGATCATGCACTTGGGAGGTGAGTGTCAGTGGAATCTCAAAGGCTGGCATGTCATCGACGTCTTTGACGGCATAGTCAGAGACCGTCATGTCTCTGATTCTGTGATGCTTGTCGCCAGTGAGACGTCGAGTTTAGTTGTCATTGCTGGGGTATTGACATTCTTTGGCTTTGTTAGGCACAATTGTCCTTGAGGATCTTCTTTGTCCGCTCTCCAGTTGAAACAATCGCCATTGTTCGAGCTGTGCCATATTACTGCCAGCACGCAGTGGTCTACTCTGAGAGAGCCATCCAGGACGTCGTTCTTTTCTAACCCCAAGTATTCTTGTTCTCATCGGTGCACTCGCATGGTCTTTGTCGTTCGTCAGTTGCGATCGTCTGGACCATCATAGTCGGCCTGGTCTCCGCATTCCTATCGTTTCCCAGCCATCAGAAGCATTTACATCATTGGACAGCATTTTCGCTGCGTAAAAACTGCATTGCCTGCTCTCGACTCTTCCTGGCTGAAGAGTCTCTTCACATCGACACTCTTTTCTTTTTGACTTTATTTTCAGCTCCTTGTCGCCGGACTACACGACCACTCTCGACTCCGGCTATCCAGTCCTTCCCATGGATGACCTTCATCAACACATCACTCCCCGCGGTCATGGGATAAACACTACCTATGTTTACGAGTTCTCGAGAGGCCTTGGTGGGGTCAATGTTCCCAGAGATGTCATATTCACGCGAATCATCTACTGGTCTGTTATTATCGGAGCCCTGGTAGTTTTCTGCGGCCGGATTGCCCAGATCAGCCATGCCTATCTACGACATATTACCTCTTTGACGGCTAGTCCAAGACAGCAAATGTTCTGGAGTGTCGAGGAGTCACGATTGTGGGCAAATATCAAGAAGCACATTCTCTACGCACCTCTGGGTCGCAAAAGACACAATCGGGAAATCCAGCTCTCCTCGGCCATCAACGTGGGCACCTTGCCGTCGAGGTTTCACTCGATCCTGATTCTGCTGTATGTGGCAAGTCAGGTGGCTTATTGCTGCTTTTTGGATTATGCTGTGAACGAGAAAGCGGCCCTCGTAGCCGAGCTTCGCGGCCGGTCGGGCACTCTGGCTGTCCTGAATATGGTGCCTTTGTTCCTCCTCGCGGGTCGCAACAATCCCCTGATCCCCCTCTTGCACATCAGTTTCGATACGTACAATCTTTTGCATCGATGGTTGGGCCGTATCGTGGTACTCGAGAGTGTGGTCCACACAGCGGCTTGGGCGGTCAATGCATGCGACGAAGAAGACTTCTCTCGCATGCTGGTACGACTCACCAGTACCCCCTTCTTTACCTGGGGCCTGGTTGGAACCGTCGCGATGATCTTCCTGTGCCTCCATTCCCCCTCGCCGATCCGGCATGCTTTCTACGAGACCTTCCTACATCTGCACCAGCTTGCCGCCTTCCTGGCCTTCCTCGGCGTCTATGTGCACCTGGACCTGGATAAGCTTCCCCAGATCCCCTGGGCCCAGGCCATTGGCGCTATCTGGCTGTTTGAACGATCAGCGCGGCTGTTCCGCTTGCTGTACCTCAACTTTTCACTCAAAAAGGGCACGACCAAACTGGTTGTCGAAGCACTGCCCGGTGAGGCCTGCAAGGTGACATTCCACCTGCCCAAGCATGTCCGCATCAACCCCGGCGGTCACGTCTTCGCCTACATCCCGAGCGTCTCCCTGTGGATGTCACACCCCTTCTCAATAGCTTGGGTCGAACCGAACAGTTGCGTGACTCCTTCAGCCGCGCCCGACAACGTCATGAGCCCCATAACCCCGTCGCTCCTGGAAAAGCAGAACCCCCTGGACCTCGACGACTACATGAGGGGCACTCAACCCACCTCCGTCTCCCTCATCGTCGGCGCCCGCCAAGGCATGACCCGCAAGCTCTACAACAAAGCCCTCGCCGCCCCGCGGCAAACCCTCTACACCACCGGCTACATCGAGGGCCCCTACTCCTCCCACGCCTCCAACATGGGCAGCTACGGCACAGCCGTGCTCTTCTCCGCCGGCGCCGGCATCACACACCACATGCTTTTCGTGCGTGACCTCATCATCCGCGCCTCCGAGGGCCGCGTCGCAACCCAGCAGATCTACCTCATCTGGTCCGTTCGCAACACCGAACACCTCACCTGGGTCCGCGACTGGATGGACCAGATCCTCCGCCTCCCCGGCCGCCGCGAGATCCTCACGGTCAAACTCTTCGTTTCCAAACCCAAGAGCAGCCGCGAGATCGTCTCCCCCAGCGCCACCGTCCAGATGTTCCCGGGCCGCTGCCGGCCCGACGTCGTCCTGAACGAAGTTATCCCCAAACGCGTCGGCGCGACCATCGTCTCCGTGTGTGGGCCGGGCGCCTTTGCAGATGAAGTCCGCGCCGCGGCGCGGAATAACATCGGGAAGGGCGCGGTGGTCGATTTTATCGAGGAGGCGTTCACATGGTAGATGTCCAGCTTCAGCTGCATGTTTTGAAGGCGTTGACGCGTAGATGTTCGATGCTCTCCTTGTACGGACTGTCAATTCGTTTCTTTTCTTCCTCTTTCTTTTCTTATCCTTCTCACTGTCCAAAGATCTCCTTGCCTTTTTACCTATCTATGTACATTAATTTCAGATTCCTTGTGATTATTCTCTCATTCATTCTGTCGCTGGTTTGATACAACTTGTCTGGCGGTATCTTTGTGACCTGGAGCCATCCGATACGCTGTCAGCTTGTTTGTTTGCCTTGAAACACAAACTCTGAGGACATACCTTACCTATCGATCTACATACACCAATTTCAGGAGTATACTTCTTTCAAAAAATTTCATATAAAGGAGATGATTTGACATTCTGTCTATGTATGGTGTGTCACCGTTGGAAAATTGTCCACAGTAAACTAAAATTAAGAATCTGACAGGAAGAAGAGATAGTCAAGATCGGCAAGGTATATCCAAAGAAGCAAAGGGGAGCAAAGTGTATGTGCATGTGTCTAGGCGTGTAACACGCGAGCAAACCGTGACACGGAGTCTAAAGTCTAGAGTACAACATTGTGCAAGAATTAGGAGGCATACGCCATATGTCTGCGAAAATGGGGAAAAAGAGCCAAAGTAATATCCAAGAAGAAAAGCTAGAAGAGAAGGCGGGCAGGCTTTCAGGTCGAACCCTTGGTTCTCTTGCCCTTGGGCACGCGAGCAAGCCAGTAAATGAAGACGGCAGCGAAGATGTTGAAGATGATGAAAGCCCACATGATACCAAAGTTACGCCAGGCGTCCTTGTAGTGGCTGCTGACGGCGGCGAGGAAGGTATCTGTGCTGGAGATGGTGCAGAAGGCGCAGTCGCTGGTTGCGGATGGGTTCTCCAGATACCCGCCCCTTGTGGAGATGTAGTCGGCCATGTAATCCTTACAGGTCAAGTTGCTTGGCGGGTCGAAGTGCAGGAGCTCGACAGCCTCGCAGACGGCGTTTGTGCCTGATACGCCAGTCGACAGCATGGCTGATACAAGGTATGTGAACGGTGAGACGCGGTACATGAAGATCCAGAAGCCGGGAAGGGATTGAGGCGGGGCGAGGACACCGCAGAAAATCAGGCAGAGGGAGAAGAGGAGGTTGGCAAGGTTACCTCCGGTCTCGGCGAGTTCGATACCGGCGATCATCATGTGCGCAAAGGTGGAGGTGAAGAGAAGGAATGACCAGATAAGGAGGAACATGAGTGCTCCGCGCTCGTGGACGGAGTTGGTCGGTTCGGCGTTCCGGTACAGCCCAATCGGGTAGTACCAGCAGACGAAGATCAGGACGGCCATGAGTGTATTCCATGGAAGCTCAACAATGATGTTGGCGGCCATGAATGCCTTCCAGGAGTAGGTCTTTGAAGGTCTTTCACGGACTTCATACAAAGACCGTTGAGTGCAGAAGTTGGGCATGATCTGTTGGACCAGGTTACCGAAGATAGTCATCAGCATGAAAATACTGAACATCTGGTTCTGGAGACCCTGGGCACTGTTCTGGGCGTTGAAGAAGGAGAATCCGATATATAGAGCGGTGAGGACGCAGAGTGCGGTCTTGGAGTAGATGTACACTGGCGTCCGCCAGTATTGCGAGAAGACACGAAGCAGACATTCCCACAACTGAACGGTGAAGGGGGCAGCGAACTCATTGTAACTGCCGGGATCGGCCTTGGACGGGTCAATGGGCTTCTGCGAGAGGGTCGCTTTCAATTCATCAAGGTGCTCATGCACCGCTTTGCGTTCGGGGCTGTCCCGCCAGACAGCAGGCCAGTCGATGTCGCTATGCGAACCAGGAGCGGCACCAATCACCTCAAGCATCCATTCGGCGGGGTTTGCGTCGGCAGGAAGCTTAGGAGCGCCATTTCTCTCAAAGTAGCTGGCAAGAGTAGATGACTTCTCTCCGATTTCACCAAAGTAGACAGTCTTGCCTCCTTTGGCAAGAAATAGCAGGCGGTCGAATCGTTGGAACAGCATTGCCGATGGCTGGTGAATAGTACACAGGATAGCTTGGCCGTGCTTGGTGAGAGTGTCGATCAGGTCGAGAATGGACCAGGAAGTTTGACTGTCGAGGCCAGAGGTAGGTTCATCCAGGAAAAGAAGTAGTTGCGGCTTCGCTGCGAGTTCCACACCGATTGTAAGACGTTTCCGTTGTTCAACATTGAGACCTGGTTCGTGTGAGCGGGGTTACAAAAACAGTAGGCAAAAGACATACCTTCTCCAGGAACGCCAACGACTGCATCGGCGTAGGATTCCATGCCAAGCAGCTTGATAACCTCTTCAACATAGTCAATTTTCTCCTGGCGGGGAACATGAGCGGGCTGGCGAAGCAAAGCACTGAAGCGTAACGCTTCTCTGACAGTCGTGGTATGGAGATGAAGATCCTGTTGCTGGACATAGCCCGTCTTACGCTGGAAAGACTGATCGCGTGGGCGACCATCAACCAACATTTCACCAGTGACGACACCCATGGTCACACGGGTCGCGAGCACATCCAGAAGCGTCGTCTTACCAGCACCGGAGACACCCTGTTGACAACATTAGCTATGAGCACTTTGCGAGGCCGCGCATGTAGTAGCGGTTAGCTACATACCATGAGAGCAGTACAAGTACCAGGCTTGACCCAGCCGTCCACATGATCAAGAATACGCCGTGGTTCGCCCTTGATCTTAATATCGTAACACACATCCTTCCATTGAAAGATTGCCTCCTGTCTCTGAATCGCCCCGGTAGCCTCTTTGCCACTGGCCTCGTCCGTCTTCGCAGCGGAAGACACCTCAGGGCTCTTCTCGACGTCATGGGAACCGGTGGGCTTTGCGTGGCCTCGCCGGAACAGTAGCACTTCGCCCTTCGACTTCGATTCCGAAATGTACTCGGTGGCAGTCAAGTAGGTGAACATGAAGAAAAACATGAATCCAAACATGATACCCAGGTTCCTCCACTGGTGGCTCTTATAGTACTGGAAGCTCTGGTGGAGGTAGTCGTCGCCTTGGACGTAACGAGAGCCGGAAACTGAGCCCACTGTCGAGCAAACCCGATAAGCCAAGGGCTGGCTGTCGTATGCTCCGCTGGACGGGACAAATGCAGAGTCTGGACACAAGAACTGCCGGTTGTGGAATTCGTTAACCATCAAACTCTCAAACCCGTACGCGATGGGATCGATATAGTTCATCCACCGTGACCAGCCGAGCATATTCCGGGTCGGAATCGTGAAGCCGGTATAGATGACAAGACCCAAAATGAGGATAGCGGCGGGCACCAGAGCCTGGGACAGGGTGCGGGACGTCGCAGCCATCGTACGGAAAAGCATGGACATGGTTAATGTAGTGACGAACGAGAAGAGCAAGAAGACGAAAAAGGCGCCAGGTTCGCGGCGAAGATTTGTCATGAAGTAGAGTGTAAGGTTGAAGATGATGGCGTTGGCGATCTTATAAGGCATGTCACAGAGCATCGAGGCTATAGCTTCAGCGAAGGGGTGATACATTGCGTAGCGAGATTGTTTCTCAACAATGGGACGTTGCGCATATAGTGTCAAAATCTGGAGACAATCAGCTTGTTGTGGTAACCACATTAGCCAACTAGACTCACCTCGAGGGCGCTGGAGAAGGCGTTGAGCAGCACGGCAAAGAAGAGCAAAGCACCGCGAGCGTAGAAACTGCTTGTGTCGTTCGGCAGGTTGTAGAAAACACTTCCAATAACCAAAGCCATAATGAAGTTACCAATCAACTGGGACATGGTCAAGCTGGAATCACCCTTAAGACGTTGGAAGCCACGGATCATGCACAGTTCGATCTGCTGCCATACGGAAATGGTGTAGGGGGATTTGACTCGCCTGCGGAGAGTTTAGCACATGATACCTGAGTTGATAACGCGTCTGACTTACTGGTTCTTCGCCTGCATGGCTCTGCGAGACTCGATGAACTGGTTGAGCGACTCGCCACCAATTGGGAATTCCCGATCGTACTCTTCGATTTCTCTCATCAACTTGGCGTAAGCTTCACTGCTCTTCCAGGCTCTCACGAATTCGTCCGGGGTCTGCGGGACCTTGCCCTCAAACCCGGGCTTCACCACACGCTCGGCAGGACTGGTGAGAGAAGTCAAGAAATCAGCGGTTGTCTGACGTTCCGGACATTCAAAGCCCATGTTGGTAAAGAATTCCTTGGCTTCATCGGTGCGTCCAAAGTAGATCTGTCTTCCTTCGTACAGAACAGTCACTTTGTCAAATACCTGGTAATCGAATTAGCGCTAGAGCAGCGGACATGGGTAGAGATATGATACTTACATCGTAAGCACTTTGGGAGGCTTGGTAGATAGCCACGGCAACGGTAGCGCCGGCGTACTTGGTCATCAGGTTCAAAGTCTTGCAGAATTCGAGCGCGTTCGCACTGTCCAGACCACGGGTGCTGTTATCCCAGCACTGCAGAGGGCTGCCACTGAGTGCTGCCTCAGCGATACTGACACGCTTACGCTCACCACCACTGACACCACGGACGAAATCGTTGCCGACTCTGGTGTTCATAGTGTGTGTGAGACCAAGCATGGCCATCACGACATCGCGCATGTGCACGGCATACTGCTCTCTGGAGACACCGGGCAGACGATTCCGAGGAGCCCGGGCAAGCGCAGCGAATTTCAGGGTGTCACCCACGGTCAGTTGCGGGAAATGCACATCAGTTTCGGCAGTGTAGATAGCCTCGCCGCGGAACTGCTTGCGCATCTGCTTGGACGAGATACCCTGATAGTTCAAGTACGACTTCTCATCCATGTAGATACCGTTCATTTCGCCGGAGATGGTCTTGAGGAAAGTCGAGCATCCGCTTCCAGGACGGCCCAGAACGACCAGCATTTCGCCGCTCTTGACAAGACCATCAAAATCCCGCAGGATTTGGATCTTCTGCTTGCCCCCACCCATGACCCTGCGGACAAGGGTACCAACTTCCAAGACCGAGTTGAACACATCCTTCTG